TCTGTGTTCATGTCCAGCACTATGATGAATTAGAGTCTGTGTTCATGTCCAGGACTATCATGCTGTTGGCTCAGATTAACCGAGACTCGCAGGGCATGGCGGAGTTCCAGGGCGGAGCAGGAGATGCCCAACACGTCACCCTCTGCCTGGCTGAGGCAGTTGCTGTTGCAGGTGTGTTCAAGTGGCATCAAACTGGGTGTGAAGGAGGGGTTGTTCTGGAAAATCCTGTTTTTAGGATACATTTCCTTTTTTTTATTGTTGTTGTTGTATGTACTCAAAATTCAGACTTAGTAAAATTACCTGTAAGCCACCTCAAAGTCACACTCCCTTAGTTTAGATGTGCCTTCTCAAAGAAGTGCCTAGGTAAGTAAAATGAGAAACCTTTCTCTCTCATGTTGACTGCTGTTCTGCTTTTTTAGATGGTGACCAGTTGGAAAACATGGACACTGTGAGTTTACAAGCTGTGACTCTTGTGGATGGCTCTACTGCATATATACAGCACAACCCCAAAGGTAGTGACATTTGTTCCTGCTGACAGACTGCAAGAAGTATGAGATACAGTGTGTTTAAGTTGTTAGAATGTATCAAGTTGCCACCCACAAACATATGCCCATAATAGTTATATATTAGATATATTTTGGTGGAAAGTTTCTTCTTATGCAGTCACAGTAATCATGTTGACTAGTATTTTTTATCTTGCTAAGCTTTTTACATTTGCAACCTAAATATACCAGTAACTTCATTTGAGATATTAGTGTTAAAAACGGTCGTTTGACTGATGTTTGTTTGAATGTTCAAGGTAGCTGAGAATTTAAACAGTATGTTAGTGTCCACTCTTAGTAGTTGATTGAAAGAGTATAATGAGTATTTTGTGTTGGTTGTGTGAGATGCAGAGTGTAATGAAAAATGCAGTTTCTCTTTCAGATGGAAAGCTCATGGATGGCCAGGTGATTCAGCTGGAAGATGGCTCTGCAGCATATGTCCAGCACGTATCTGTGCCAAAAACAGGTGTGCTACCTCCCGTCTCTTGGGTCTTAACTGTGATTGATTCCTGTTGTTTTCCAATTGCACATGGCAGGCAAATCTGAAAATCAGTTGTCTCAAATTCTGATAACACAGCCTTTCCTATCATTTAAAAAAATAAAATAAATACCTGTGCACCCAGATGACACCTAACAGCATAAATAACATTGAATTAATTAATAGTTATTTGGGGCTACTTAATGTTAACTCAAGCCTCCTAGCCTAAGCCTCTGTTCTATTTTGACTTTTGAAATTTTAACACTTTAACTGACAAAGCTGTTACACCTTTGAAAGTTAATGTATTTGTGAGGTGACTTTAAGAAAGCATTTTTGTGTCCACAGCAGATGTTTTCACTTTATAATTGCATTGTTGAGGATCAAATTCCTCATATTTCTTAGGAGGAGAAAGTCTGCGACTTGAAGATGGTCAGGCTGTCCAACTGGAAGATGGAACAACGGCCTACATTCACCATGCTCCAAAGGGTATTTTCCTCAAGCATTAACTCAGACGATGATTTTGCAACTCCTAAATCTGTTGTTTGTGATACTAAAGTACAATCGGTGAAGAACTACATATTCATACTTACATGTACAGTTTTTCTAAATATAAATGAGCATATCAAGTATAAATTGTAATCTGTTCATTCAAAACTGCAGTGGCATGATTCCTAATCACCTTTTTTCGTTGCAATGTTTTTAGAAACATACGACCAGAGCACACTGCAGGCTGTGCAGTTAGAAGATGGCACCACAGCATACATCCAGCACACAGTACAGGTGCCACAGTCGGACACTATATTGGCCATCCAGGCTGATGGTACCGTGTCCGATATCCACACAGAGGGCACCATAGACCCTGAAACCATCAGCGTGCTAGAGCAGTACACAACTAAGGTAAAGTGAGGAAAGGACACATTGTTTTTTGAAGCCAGCAGGACATTGCTTTTCTGGAATACCCCTATGTCTGCTGTTTTGTATTCCTGAACTGATCCTTAATCACTAAGGCTAACTGATCCCTTTATTTGAACTTCTTACTTGTTTTTCCTTTCTAACCTGTTTGGCTTTGGGGGATACGTGGCCCACAAGCCCCTGGCTGTTCCATGAGTTTCAGCCAAAACTTTATATCTAAAAAGAGAAGAGAAATGTTAGAGGCGTTTCAATAAATATTTGGTACAACCTGTTGAATTTATGAAGTTCATGATTGGAAAATACGCTCAAGATCCCTTTCTGTGCCGAGCAGTCTGTCCGCTGGGGCTGTTTCTAGCCGCTGTGCAGTAGAAGCCCTGTCACAGGCAGTGTGCTCTTTTCTCAGGTGGAAAGCTCTGACTGTGTAACCAGCACGGGGCTGATCAGCAGAAGTGAGAGCGATGCCAGCATGCCGATGCAGGTAATCTGCTTTTTACGGAAAAGACCTTGGGAAGTAAAGTGTGGAATATATATTATATGTGCATTTTACATACAGTCATTTCTCAAAGTTCTTTCTTCCATAGTGAAATTGATCAAATATGCGTCTGGAAAAAAAACAGAAATTTTGTGCTAAGAAGCTTTTTAAGAAACATTTAAGGTCACAAAGATGTAGCAGGATGTCTTAGGGTTTGCTGGATCATTATCGGTAATGAGTGATATTTATAAAAAATAGCGTTACTTGCATTTCTCTCTTTTCTGTTCCACTTTGTTGTCTTTACCTTGTCACATTTTTAATGATTTGAAAATGTGTGAATTTATCCCCTTAAGCTCTGTGATCTCATAATGTTTAGGGATACTAGGGTTATATCAGAACCTGTAGCTACTGTTGCTCATCAGTCAGAGTGGAAAAAACAGTATGTTCACAAATCTAGTACAAGGACCTCTGGACACACAGCGCACTTGTCCTTCCTTTCCTAAAACTTTTTTTTCTTATGGAGGGCGATTGTGCAGCATGAATTCCCTCGGCTGCAAAAGTTTCTGAAACTGTGTTTGCAAACCTCTGTCAGTTCCTGTAAAGAAGGAGGCTCAGATGATGACGAGCAGCTCCCATTCAGGAACACGAGGCAGAAAGCAAGCTTCGGGGCTGAGTGCAGTGTGTCTGGCTGTGCTCTGACACAAAAATGTTAGAGCCTGCCTGCACACGTTTTTATTTCTAAAGCAGCATTTTTGGGAATGGAAAACATTATCTGGTGCTTAATAGAATTTGAGCTCCTTATTCTGAATGTTAAAAATCAAAAGCACTGAGGCATCCCAGGCAAGGGATGTTATCCATATTTGTGTTGTAGACCACCAAATTTGCCTTTTGAGTTAATATGTGCTAAAGGCTTTAAATAATTTGTATTTCATAAAAAAACTTACTTTATGAAAAGACCAGATTTTATTCTTCATAGTGTATTTTTCCTGTTACACTCAAATAAACATTTCAAATTCATGGGACTTTGAAGATGTGCCCTTGCAACTCTAGGCTCCACAGCTGAAAAGTTGTGTTTCTTCGTTCCACTTTTCACTCTGGAATTAAATTCTGCTTGTTTAGGTGCTCTATATCTTGCAGTTTTTTATTGTAGTAATTATTTGACTGGTGTTTTCAGTCCAACGGAGAAGTCTTTGATGTCTTCATGACAGGTGTCTGTTTCTCCTCCCAGATTGTTCTACAGAGTGCCCCAGTGAACCGCAATGGGACAAAGCCCCAGCAGACTGGAGAGAAGTCATTCCGCTGTGACTATGAGGGCTGTGGGAAACTCTACACTACAGCCCACCATCTGAAGGCAAGGGCCTTGTACTCTTGGGCTACTCGCACAGAGCTCTGCAGGCCGTGCAGGGCGCTGAGATAAAAAAGACGTCAAAATAATGAAAATGTGGAAGTCGATATAGTCCTGTCTTAGAAATTCTGCTTCTCGGAGATCTGAGTATTTCGATAATATTGTTACTGAGGAGACAACAGTTTTTTCTATTGTCTCGACAGGGAGACGGTCGATTAAAAAAAAAAGATGACAACATCCTTAAATCAAGCACAAATCCCCAAATACAGCGAAAAATCAAAATGCACCTTTTCTAGACGTGCTGTGTATTTTAATGTTAATAAAGCTATTAAAAGGCTTTGCCACACGTTCATTATGGTTCATTAATCTGGGGGAAATGATTCTTGTATTTGGAGTGGCCTGTCCAATGCGGAGACCCCTGGTGTACTTTCAGTGACGCTGTGTTTCATGCGCAGGTACATGAGCGATCCCACACAGGCGACAGACCCTACCAGTGTGATCACCTGGGCTGTGGGAAGGCGTTCGCCACAGGTAATGACCCTTTCCTGTCAGGGCTGGGAACGTCCGGGCCTGTGCAATGTGAAGAGCTGCAGCAGTAGTCCAGCACAGATTCCTTTGGAAGTTAGTATTCTCAGTTGACCCTGTATTTTTGCTTGCAGTATCTATCCAGAATAATATATACAAATATTTTAGACCACGTTTTTTTTTCCTTGGACAATTTTACTCGGAAGCACGGAGTAAAGCAGCATTGAATTCAGAATTTACATTCTTTCAGGTCGTCTGTCAAAAAATATTCATAATCATTTCCTCACTATTACTGCAAGGTGAAAGCCTACTGTATATAGGCCTTCACTGAGTCAGTCGGCTGATGCCTAGAGATTCTGTCTCTTTTTTTTTTTAATTCGTTCCGAAGATGGAAAAAGATCAGTTTTTTTCCTGTTTCATTATTTTTGTCAGTGTAGGTAACAGCTAGTGTCTGTGTTTTGGTGTGCTTCTGTTTTGGCAGGCTATGGGTTAAAGAGTCATATCCGGACCCATACAGGGGAGAAACCATACAGGTGCCAGGAGATGAACTGTAACAAGTCATTCAAGACATCGGGGGACCTGCAGAAGCACATCAGAACTCACACAGGTACGGCCACAGCATTTGACTGCCCTGTTTCAGCCGTCTGGAGAAAGCTAAGAAAGCAAGTCTTAAACCCAGTTTATGTATACTAAAGCAGGGGAAAATATTTTTTCTTTTGAAAAGTATATGTAAATAGTACGATTTTATCACGTAACTGCCCCGGTGTTTGTGAGGAACTAGAATAAATGTCAGACATTCACTAGTCGCAGCATGTCAGTGTCCTCTTGTTATACTCTTAAGGCACTCTTGCCATTATTGTGAGTATAAGACTGCTTGACAGAAAAGGAACACTTATTATTTTTCTCTTCAGGTGTATTTCAAAGAGATTTGCCCAATAGTCCGTTATAAATGGAGTGACACAGAGTGCATTTTATTGTTTTCCTTAAGATAAAAACACATTTAATGTATTTAGTTTTTTATTCACACAGTGTATAAACCAAGTAAAATCACTACTTCTTTTATTGGGAGCTGTTGCTTTGAAGCAGCAAGTTGTGTTGCTTTTACCAGGGTGAAATCTTATCTGGTCATGAATAAACGTCTACTCAACATTGGGCATTGAGGCTGTATCTTTCTTCTCGCTCGCAGGAGAAAGGCCATTCAAATGTCCTTTCGAAGGCTGTGGCCGATCCTTCACAACATCCAATATCCGCAAGGTTCACATCCGCACCCACACTGGAGAGAGGCCCTATTACTGCTCCGAGCCGGGCTGTGGGAGAGCTTTCGCCAGCGCCACCAACTACAAGAACCACATGAGGATCCATACAGGCAAGAGCACTTGCAGATCAGCACAGCTTTACAAACGCCATGCTGGCAGGACGCTCCCTGCACACGTTACAGAAACCAAGAATTTCCATCAGCAGTTTAGTGAGCTCTGCTGATTTGTACCAAGGAGTCTGTATCAGCACTCTTTGCTAGTTTTTGCCATTAAGAGTATAAAGGTACAGGTAAATAAATGTGAGATTCACCTGAAGTTTCACTAATTTTGGTTCATGTGTGTTTTTTATGGAGCTGGAGTATAAATGAATGATCACATACAGGAACATTTCATTTTCTTCCTCAGTGGTCTGATCAGAGATTGAATTTGAAATTCTATTTGCTCTTGCTGGGCAATGTTTTGTTTTTAGAACCAGTTTAATTACTTTAGGAGATGCCCAGGTCATTTGTAACTGAGATGACAATGAAATGTTGTGGATTTTGCTACTAGTGTTACATGGTGTTACACACCTCATGGAGACAAGTTTATTTGAACTCGAAGTAATAAGCAAAGTCTGTCATCTTTTCAGTCACTGAATGTGACCCCAGAGGTTTCTGGACTCAGTAAACAACAGTTAAGATCATAATATAACATTTGATTTAATATTTGTTGTAAATTATAAAACCTAATTTTCTGTTTTATTATGCTGTGGGTTTCCATTTCATAGGGGATATGAAAAAACCTAGAGGGCACTGTAAACATACTGGGGATATAACAAACCAGTGGTCGTGTACTGTACACTAAGACACTGAGAAGACTAAAAAGTAGTAAGCAGTTTCATCTTCAGTTTGTATCCTTTGGCTGAAAGTGTTTGTGGTATTAAAACAGGAGAGCAACACTTACTGTACCTACAGCAAGCCCTGATTGAGGCAGTCGAATGCTGAAGCAGGATCATTTCCTTTATTTGCTTCTGTCTGTAGGGGAGAAGCCCTACGTGTGCACTGTGCCCGGCTGTGACAAGCGCTTCACAGAATACTCCAGTCTGTACAAGCACCACGTGGTCCACACGCCATCCAAACCCTACAACTGCAACCACTGCGGGAAGACCTACAAGCAGATCTCCACACTGGCCATGCACAAGCGCACAGCGCACAACGACACAGAGCCCATCGAGGAGGAGCAGGAGGCCTACTTTGAGCCCCCGGCAGGTCAGTCAGTGCCCCTGCGTGTTGTTTGCATGCGCCGGTTTCTAGCGTTCATCACTACTGGACCTAAATTCCACAGGACAAAGTCAGAGACGATGAATAATAGTTTATACATCATGGAACCAGACTTCTTAGCCATTAGATATTACAACAGTGGAACCACATGGAGTCCGTTCCATCAATTCTGCTGTTACACTCTATATACAAAATAGTGCAATACAAAAAGCAGTTTTTAACCTATGTTGAAAAAAAATGCAAATTCTATAAGGCAGTTGATCATTTTAATTCTTTATGGCAGTATTCATGTATTCATATTCAATATGAATATGGCATATTCTCTTTGGTGTCACTTTCTGCTTACTCTACTACCATGTATCTGGGGGACTAGTGTGTGTGAAATTATTTTTACTCAGGAATAAATAAACAATTACACAAAATAATAGTAATTATTCCTTTCACTTGCATAGCACTTTTCTGGACACTCCACTCAAAGCGCTTTACAGGTAATGAGGACACTCCTCCACCACCACCAGTGTGCAGCCCCACCTGGATGATGCGACAACAGTCATAGTGCACCAGTACGCTCCCCACACACCAGCTCTCAGTGAGGAGGAGAACAGAGTGATCCCCAGTTAAGAATTATTAGGGGCTGTGAGTGGTAAAGGTCAAAGTGAAATTTAGCCATGACACTGGGGACACTCCTCCTCTTTCCGAGATGCACCCAGGGATTTTTAATGACCACAGAGAATCAGGACCTCAGTTTTAAGTCCGAAGGACAATGTCTTTTTTACAGCATAGTGTCACCTATACTGGGGTATTGGGACCCACACAGGTGACAGGGTGAGCGCCCCCCCTACTGGCCCCACTAACACCACTTCCAGAAGCAACTGGAAGCAACTTAGTTTTTCTCAGGAGGTCTCCCATCCAGGCATTGACCAGGCTCACACTTGATGAACTTCAGTGGGCTGCCAGGTGTGAGTAGCAAAAAGAAGACATTTCGGCCCTTTTCAGTAGTCGGGTGATGTTTTTACTCTGTTTGTCAGCTCATGGAAGGTATGAGTCCGTGTAATATGACTGGTATGAAAAGGGTAGAGCTGAGAACATATGTTTAGTGAGCTTTGTTTTTATTTCAACTAGGGCCTATTGAAGATGTGATCAAGTCACAGGTAACCTATGTGCCAGGGATCGAAGGAGAGGATGCGGGGACAGCACAAGTTACTTCTGGGAACCAGGAAGCAATTGGACAGCAGCACGTGGCTCTTATCACACAAGATGGTACCCAACAGGTTTGTATCATGAAAAAGCCAAAAATAACTATTATGAAATTCCATTTTGCATGATCTTGGGAAGTAAAGAGTTGATTTTATCCTAAAAAACCGTCTCCACCCCATTTTTGCATGTGTGAGTCAGCTGCTTTTGTTTGTAGTTTATCCATGTATATAAATGGTCCTGCAGTTTAACCTACTTTACTACACCAAATTAAATCCCAAACCCCATGAAAACTACTAATGGAGAAAAAAAAATATTTGCTATTGAAGATGGGTAAATTCCAAATTGTATTAAGAAGACCACAGTGGAGATAGTTAGCAGTCTTTGTGTTTTAAAATAAAAACAAATATTGCTATGTCTGCAGAATAGGATATAGCATATTTCAGGACTACAATCATATATTAAAATAGTTAAAAGCCTGAATCCACAGTATATTTTAAGTAAATGTTATCAATATAGCAAGAAGCCTTAAAAATGAAACAGATGAGTATTGGAAGCAATTTTGTTGCAAAGACTGTCTCTCAGTATGGGAAAAAGTAATAGGTTTATTCCATGCTGAAAAGAGAAGAAAGAAAACACAACGTTTTGGCCGTGGAGCCTTCTTCAGTATTTTAACTGCATGCACTATGAAAGCAGTTGGTGTACATGTATTGTGCTTCATCCTCTCTCCCCCCTGTCACCGTTCTCAGGTCAGTATCTCCCAGGCAGACATGCAGGCCCTGGGGAACACTATCACAATGGTAACACAAGATGGCACCACCATCACTGTCCCAGCGCACGAAGCAGTGCTGGCTTCAGGAGGCACACATTCTGTCACTATGGTAACTGCAGACGGGACAGAAGGACAAGTAAGTTTTCTTTTTCTAATGTTATCACGTATTTCCAACTTTTCAGTATTCCTCAAAAAACATAATATGGCTAAGAAACATGTCCAGAGTTCTATATTTAGTTGGCAGATACAGAAAGAATTCAGATTGTGAACCCTAAGCTTACATTAACAATCTTATTTGGAGTGTCATGTGATACACAGACGGGCAATAGATTGGCCATTGACAATGGACAATGGTGTCTTTCAGAGCAAATTCATTGTCTCTGTGTACTCTTCTGATAGAAGGTTGATTGTTCAGTAGAAGGAAAGAGATAACAGGACTGACTGGCTCCGTGTTTTCAAAATACTGCAGTCCACATCGTTTTCTGGGAGAGGGATAAGGAGTGTATTTTAGTCATTTCTTTCCGACTCAGAGCTTTTCTTTTATTTTCAGGTTGCTATAGTGACTCCAGATTTAGCCACATTCCAAACGTCCCAGACTGATATGACCCAGGAACATCATGAGCATCATCTGGTATCGGGCAGCCCTCACCCAGTCACACTTCTGGCAACATCGAACGGCACTCAGATCGCAGTTCAGGTACTAGAAAGAGACTGAAAACATCCCAGCAACACTCCCCACAAGGGAGCGCACCCTGACTGCAGGCAACTGTTCATTCCCTGCCATTTTCAAGACGTTGAAGAACTAGCTTGTTCCCTGAATGTGTGGTGTCATTATTACTTCATTCAGTTCGAGTGACTGAATTCACAGATTCTTGGTCTGCTGAGAAATAAAGTAGGATTTTAAACTCTTCATCTCTGGTGTGAAAGCACGGTGCACATGATTTTCACTTTGCTCAGACCACACAATTCTACCGTCGCAGGAAGAGTCTGGAGGAAGCAGGATAATTGCCTGTGTTTTCCGAACTGTTATGGTGGCCCATAATTCTAACAGCCTGCAGACTGGCATGTGGATAGTGTTCAGGTCTCAACACAGCCTTCTGCTTGCCAAGATGGCTTGCATTAAACTGATTTATAACACATGGCTTCACATTAAAACTGACAAACAAGAAGTTGGAAAGCTTATCACATTACCCAGAAATATGCGCCCTTAAACTTGGCCCAAGAACTAACACTTAACGGATGCAGACTTTTCAGAAAAGTCTTAAAGTTGTTTTCTTAATTGTTACTTGCAGATTCTGGGAAAACTCATCTCCTTATTTTTAACTTCTTGTCTCCAGTACGAATAAAAACAGGAATTAAAATATGTATTCATTTAATACGTTTTCACACAGGACAAGATGTTGCTATATCTTAAAGTAGTGAAAAGGCTGGAAGATGAAGGAAACAGGATACATTATTTGCTTTTGGTATAAATCTGTGAATACATTTTCCACTGTATCCAATGTAAAGCGCAGAAACTATTTCTTTATAAACACTAATTATGAATATTACTGGTTTTGAACACATTTTGCAAAGAAATGTGCCAAACGTATATCAAATTAAGTTCCACCAAATTTAAAGATTTTTTTTCTATATTACAAGCTTTTCACTTATCACTCTTTGATGCAAATGAAGTCTGTTACACAATAGCCTGTGTAAATAAACCTTGTAGGACTAGACTTGATTATTATTCAATTCAATTAAAGCTTTATTGTCCCCTAGGGGAGATTTGTTTATGGAGTCTTGTTACATTCAGATCATTCAGCTAGAGACAGATTAGTCTGCTGCGGTTTATCATTATCAAATTTAAGTTTTACAGATAAGGGGTGATCTGCTTTTTTTTATTTGATGCTTCTGTGTCGATATTTTGTCTCCTAACAATCAGTATTTCTAGTTTAAATTAACTACACCCGAAGAAGGCTCCATGGCCGAAACGTTGTGTTTTCTTTCTTCTTCTTTTTTTTCAGCACGGAATAAACCTATTACTTGTTCCTTTGTAGTTTAGATTAAACCTACTATACCTTATCAGTCATATTTAAAATGCTCATATTTTAGTTTTCTTTGTTATTTTTTAAAAACTTGTTAAGTATAACAAATGACTAAAGTACAAGTATAGCCTTAATCAAACTGTCTTGTATATAAGACTTGAAATCTTTCTTTTCAGAAGTCAGCATTTGTATATGATTACCCTTTTTATCTTTTAGCTGAGTGAACAACCATCACTGGAAGAAGCCATTAGAATAGCCTCAAGAATACAGCAAGGAGAAAATCCCGGAATGGATGATTAATACACAACTTGCATTGCCTTCCAATGCTTCCACAAAAAATGCTATCAGAGACTGTTCAGGAAGAAGAAAATTAAAAAAGCAAAAAATGCAACTAGCTTGCTCACCGCTATTAATATTAAAGGTCAAAACCATGAATTTCTCTTGTAGATTTTGTGTATATATATTTTAAATAGGGGGGGGGGGGCATAATTGATCACTTTCCTGTCGATCGGAAATGTTCAATTCTCTAATCTAGAAGGATGGATTAAATCCCAGAAGTTCTTTATGAAAATCGTGCTCTTTTGTATGCCACATTGTACTCAGGACATGAATGCGTTTGGAGCTACAGATTTCCACTTTCTTTCAATTACATGTTTTGGGAGTTATAGTCACTGTACTGTGTATATATAACCTGCTAATGGTTTAAATTTCTCTATTTTACATTTGATTATGTATAAATTCTTGGTTGTGCAATATTAAAGCAGTACAATCCATCTGAAACCTTGCTTTGGGTCAGTTCCTAGTTAAGGTTGTTTGAATAATAATTCTTATAGAATTATTGTCCTTAAGAAGAGAACTATAATTGAACACCCTAAACCACAAAGTCAGATCAAACCTAAAGAGGCACTTGCTATACTTTTTGTGATAACTCAGGTTTTTTAGATTTTTCACTGCAGCACTTTATGTATAATTTGTTCCATTTGTGTGTATATTAATGTTAAAAACTGCAGTGTGTTTAAAAAATCATTATGTGTATAGAAGTTTAATATTTGATTAAATTTCTGCTGGGCAGGAAGCAATTGACCATTTTTACAATCAAAAGTTTGAGGTTGAACAGAGAACATGTTGGTAACATTTGTGCTGTACTTCAGAGAGTAAGAATAACCTCTCAAAAACTGTGAAAATGAATTGCTTCTACAAAAACGACAATTTTTAAACTAGAATTTACCTTTGCTCTCCTTTAAATCATATTCACCACCATAAAAGGCTTCCCTAAGCGCAACTTGCGCAATATCAGAAGAATCGAAGATACGATTTAACACGGGTTTAAGAAGTCAAATCCGATTAAAAGTTGGAGCTAATCAAGTGAAGTAGATAGTAAGATCAACACTGCTTATCCGAGTTATCTCGCTCACAGGCAAGACGGCCATAAATGTCGAAACAAACGCCTTAGCAAACTGAACGCTCGAAAGCCAGACACAAGGCAGAAACGCCCGATGATGTAATGCGGTGACATCATAGTTTAAAGAGCCACCTGTGGCGGAAAAAAGGTACAAAAGACATTTCAATCACAACGCCCTTCCGAAACTTAAATGTAAATGCCTAAATTAGGGCGTGTGAATAGAAGACTTTTATCTTCAATTACCCTTTTCAGTAGTCTCTTCATTTGTGTATTTTTTTAATAGTTACAATTATTTGAATTAAATATTCAGAACACAATGTAGTATTTTATACTGTGAAAAAACTAAAACAGTTGCCAGTCATCGTATTGCCCCAGAACTTTTTTTTAAGGACGTTCGCGAAATGTTTCCAAATTTACACTTTGGTTAATTGTATTAAGTGTTTCGTTATTTTTAGATAATTACCAATTAATCTTAAAACGTTTAGGATAAAACAAGAGTAATTTATAAAAAGGCGGTCCCTGAAAAAGAAATCTCCATTTACAGCCTCCTGTAACATGACTTCACGTTTATGTCTTAAGAATCTGGCTCTACGGCAGTTGCTCGTATCACGCTTAAATTTTAATTTGAGGACTACAAGAGTATATTGAAATATTTTTCAATTAATATTTAAACCTCCATGGGAGTTGTTGTTTGAATACTTTTTTTCTCTTTTAAATTGCACCTTTCCTTGTGTCATATCACGAAGTCCCATACAGGGTTAGACTCATAAAACATACGAAAAGGTTTTGAACGCTCATCGTCCTTACACACCGAGACAAGATTAGTCTCCTCATGTACATTACTCCTAATGATCATTCTTATTGACTGTAGTGATTCTATCAAGAGCAAGAACATTAGATCAATAATAAACATCCTACATCGATTTAAAGCTTGCTCCAGTCCAGCAACAACTATATAATCTGCTACAAATATTTCCTTAACACTTCCTAAAGGGACTGATTTGAAGAGCCTTCGATGACGCTCTAAAAGACAGTATCCAGATACATCATAAATTCAATAATTTATTTTAGAGCAGTTCTTGTAACCGAAACAACGGCTCGTTGGCTCGGACATCCTCATCATTACAATCGGAAATGCAGCCTTCAATAAAACCACCCTGCGCAAAACTACAAGAATAACCCCCTCCCCCTACATACCAACAAGATCGCGAAATGTTCGCGCCAAAATGACGTGCAGTGTCCAGCCCCTGGGTCGGTGACGTAACTGCCCGTGTCCAAGCGCTGCACCGCCCAGATTTCAAACTTGCAGCTCGGGCGCTGATTGGCTGGGACGGGAGTCATTTGACCAACGGTCGCGGGAAGCCGCGTAGTGGGCTGCGGAGAGGAGTGATTCGAATTAATTCAGTAAACAAACGCATGTCGGGGTAGCGGCAAAAAAAAAAACACACAACTTTTTTGGGGGGTTTTGTTTGACAAGTGACTGTTCTCCGGAAAGCTGATCAGCTTACTATCTTCCAGAGGAGAACGAAAGGGAAAAGAGGAGGCTTCCTCGAACAGCCTGGTGTAGCGCAGCGAGCAGGAGTGGGAGCCGTGCGTGCAGCCATTTTCCACTAGCCGTGTCCGGCCCAGGCAGGGTAGCGAAGCTCCGCCTGCGGGCTCGCCGGTGGGAGACCCAGGGGAAGAGGGACTGGACCAGCGCCGCGCTGACGCGTCCGAGTCCGCTGGGTGCCTCGGGGTGACAGGGCTCCGGTTGTGTGGGGAAGCTCGGTGACCCGGCGCCGCCGCTGAGACCCCCTTCCAGCCGCGCCGCGGACTCTGATCGCCCGGGGAGGGTCTCCTCGGGCCCGGTGTTCTTGTGAGCCACCATATGCATTCCGGCTCGGATCGGCGGCCAGCTGTGTGTTTGTCTTAACTCCTGTGTGCCTGGCTGAGACCCACCGGGCCTTTTGCGCGGTGCAGGGGGAGATGAGCTTGCGCGCTGCCTCTCCGAAGATGGGGCCCATCCGGCAGAAGCTGCAGTTTTCGCCCAGCGACGGGGAAGACGACCCCGTGGAGGAGGACGGCAACAGCACGGGGGCGGACTCGGCTTTCCAGGAGCTGGACTCGCCGGTGCAGCCCCGGCAGAGAGCGGCGAAGAAGAGGAGCGAGGAGCCGGGGGACAGCCCCCGACGCCTCCACGGGGAGGAGGAGGAGGATTTCTGGGACGAGGAGGGGCTGGGCTCGCCGTCTCCCGTGAAGTCCCCCGGCTCCTTCCTGATGGAGTCCCCGTCCCCCAGGAAGAGCTCCTCGGCCTGCCGGGGGTCTTCCCCGGGGGGCGCCTACGGCCGGGAGGAGCGAGAGGGCTCCAGCTCTCCCGTCCCGGACTGTCCCGACACGCCTCCCCACAAAACCTTCAGGAAGCTGCGGCTCTTCGACACGCCGCACACGCCCAAGGTGAGCGCTCTCGGGCGGAGCGGCCGGGCCGGGGGCTCCGGTTGTTTTGATTCGAGCGGCCGGCTTGTCGCTCGCCCGGGCTCGGGAAGAGACCCCCGCAGCCTGTAGAGAGACGACTTCCCAGATAACACAGCTCCGCGCTGTGTTGGCTAACAGCGGTCGGACGCTTTCTTTTTTGGACATCTCAGTCTCCTTTTTTTTTTAAAGTCAGACTTGTTCACTTGGGTACTAACGAGAGAGTTTCATGTGTCGGACCGGGGCTGCAAAATCTAGCTGCGGCACATCAGGGGGAAATTACTTCGCTAAAGTCGTCTTTTTTTTTTTGCTAGACGGTTTTAAACACCAGCACCAAACACGGGTCTCATCAGTTAGTTCAGGAATCCCAGCGCGATTCAAGCTCTAGCAGACATTTGTGAAAGGCTCGCTTTGTTGCAGTTTTTTTTTTGCCGAGTCAGCCTTGTCCAGGTGACCTACTTAAGCGAGTTATAAAAGCTCCATAAATATCTGCGGTTAAAGGCTGAAATTGGTCTCGATCGCGTGATTCATGCGATCCCAGGCATGTCTCAGCAAGTGTAAATACACAGCTGTCTGCAGACTTATTAAATCGCCCCTTTCACCCACTGCTGTTGGAATTTGATGGTTGCTGCTAATAGGCTAGCGCATGTCTTAGGGGCAGAAACGAGATAGGTCTGTAGGAGTGAACGGGGGGCTGTATTTTGGGGGCGTCTTGAAACGAGTCCCCGGGATGGTCTGTTTCATGTCCTGGCTGTATTTATCCTGTACTCGCAGAGCCTGCTGTCCAAAGCCAGCGCCCTGGGCTCGGCGTCCGTGCGCCGCCGAGGGGCTCTCTTCAGGACCGCGGAGCCCCCCAGCAAGGGCGCCTCCGGGGGCAAGAGCCAGCAGCCGCCGCACATCAACATCAACCCCTTCACGCCGGACTCCCTGCTCATCCAGTCCGCCGCCCTGCAGAAGAACAGCAGGAAGCGGACCCACTGGAACGAGTAAGACTCCCCGGGCGCCTGCACAGAGCTTCACCGGACATCAGCCCATTCTGAAATCGATGGCCTTTGATTTGGAAACTTGGCTCTAAAAGTTAACTGGTAGTTGCACTGTGCATTGCAACTGGGAAGAAAATCATTGCTTTTACAGTTACTTGGTCTCCCATTTGAAGGGGTGTGTGGAACATGACTCATGGGTTAGTTTTGTGTACCGGGCTTCGTTATAATCGGTTGGCAAATACACGACCGGAGCACGTGTCGCCTGAGTCACCACGTGCTCTCCAGAGCGGAAGTGCTGCCCTCTAGTGCCGTCTGCTCTCACTAACTGCGAGTTTTTTTTTCGGTTTAGTTCCTGCGGGGAGGATATGGAAGCAAGCGATGGAGAATTTGAAGATGAGCTCTTTCCCCCGTCTAAGGTAGGTACACACACCTGAGCAACCGATTATCCAGATTAGCCTTTGGGGTAAAAGAATGTGGTACTTAAAGTTTTTGTTTTAACAGAGGATTACTATAACTGAAAGCAACATGAAGTCCAGATATGCAACGGAGTTCCATGAGCTGGAGAAGATTGGGTCTGGAGAGTTTGGTTCGGTGTTCAAGTGCGTGAAAAGACTGGACGGCTGTATCTATGCCATAAAACGCTCCAAGAAGCCACTGGCCGGTTCTGTTGACGAGTAAGTGCAAATGTTTTTTTTTGTTAAGTGTTTTGAAAATAAGCAGAGATCTCTGATTGCAGTGTGAGAAAGTTTTGGGTTCTGTTTCCAGGCAGAATGCTCTCCGGGAGGTCTATGCTCATGCAGTGCTTGGACAGCATCCCCACGTGGTCAGGTACTACTCTGCCTGGGCAGAAGATGACCACATGCTAATCCAGAATGAATACTGCAATGGTGGTAGCCTGTCTGACGTCCTCATGGAGAACTACAGAAGTATGCGCTATTTCACTGAAATGGATTTGAAGGATTTACTTCTGCAAGTGGCCCGGGGACTGAAATATATTCACTCAACAGCACTGGTACACATGGATATTAAACCTAGTAAGTGTCCCGTTAGAATTGCTCATTTCCCTGCCAATTTTTCCACATCTTTTTCTGTTGGTTAATTGCATAACAAATTCATCATTTACTTTTGTAACTTTGCCAGGTAATATCTTCATATCCAGGAAGACTGTACCATGTGTGGATGACTGTGATGATGATGATGGTTTATCCACAAGTGTTGTGTACAAAATAGGTAAGCACTTTATTTTTTGGGAAGGTTTTTCCTGACATTTACCTTACTACTGGTTAATTCACAGTTAATGCTTTGATTTAACTAAGTCAGGCATTGTCAGTGCAATTATATCCTCTGAGATATTAAACCATGTGATCTGTCAGATCTGACATGTTCATGTGGTCCTAGTGCTTGTCAGCTTAACACCACCGGGGTAATACTAACCTTTTTTTTATCCCATCCTTCAGGAGATCTTGGCCATGTGACACGGATAAGCAATCCACAGGTTGAGGAGGGAGACAGCCGATTTTTGGCGAATGAAGTTCTACAAGAGGTGACCATTTGTAGATGTTTAAATAGTGTTGTTCAAATCAACTCACTGCTACAAACGTGCATCAGCCTTAGGGAAGTGGAGTGATACTTTACCATGCTGCCATGACCAATGATAAGTCTGAAGTCTTCCCAGTTAATCTGATCCCTGTACTGAAGGGGTTGTGATCTGCTCTACCTCTGGGACTCCCCCAGCCCTGGACAGCCAGTGACATGGATCAGATTTCATTTTGTGAACCCCTAGGCTTCGGGTCATACTTAGCTGTATGACCTTCATCCCAGTGAAATACAGATATTGACTACACATTCTCTGAAAGGTTTTTTTTTAACAATATGCGGATTGGTGTGAGTTGAAACTGTTCTTACAATAGGTTTTGTTGTTGTAGTTTTTTTTTTAATTTGCATGTCTTTCCTTTGGGAATTCGGTTTATTGCTTAAGGTCCTACTTAGAGTATCTTGGTTGCAGGCAGCTAAGGAATGCATATGTTTAAACAGAACCATCTCTTTAAGCTGGGTCACATACCTATTGGTTTGCATAAGAGACCTCAGCAGAAAACTTCACAGGTTAGACACCTGCAATTCCTCATGGCCGTGGATGGGAAACAATGCATGGTTCTGCTACAACCCTTTCAAAACTGTAACAAGCCTATGTTTCATTCCAATATTGCAAGTTCATCCAAGTATTGTATGTTTATTCTACAATTATTTGATTTATGGTATTAATGAATTTTGAAAAAATCAAAATAATATTTTGCATGCAAGGTTAAAGCATAAGCTACATTTTACCAACACTAATTTACTTTTTGAAAACTGCAACTCCCAGTGTTTTTATCGTGGTGTCGGAACTTTCTTGTTCTTTTTTTTCAGGACTACCGCAACTTAACAAAAGCTGATATTTTTGCCCTGGCATTGACTGTAATAAGTGCTGCAGGAGCTGAACCAATGCCTTCTAATGGTGACAAGTGGCATGAAATACGGCAAGGAAAACTCCCGAGAATGCCTCAAGTTCTGTCTTTGGAATTCTTGGAGTTATTAAAGGTATGAAAGTGCCACTTTTCTTCTAAGCTAGATCACACCTGGCCAGAGCGGATGATTTTAGGAAGCTCTGGGTTTAGCAATTTGCTTTAAGTTCTTTGCAGTGGGACTTTGTACTATTTTAGTTTTTGAACTACTTATGTTTGTGTTTCTGCACAAGTAGGTAGCACTTACAGTACAATTAATGGATTCTGTGATTTCCTTGTTTTAATACTTGCAGTTGATGATCCACCCGGATCCAGAGCGGAGACCCTCTGCTTCAGCCCTGATCAAACACCCAGTGCTGCTCACTGCTGCTCGAATGAGTGCAGACCAGCTCCGAGTTGAACTCAATGCTGAAAAGTTCAAAAATGCACTTTTGCAGAAGTAAGTAATTGGAAATGTTAAACATGTTTGGAAATGAAGAATTTAGAAGTGTGATTCCATATTATACATAATTCTATATTATAATTAGTTCACACTTTATTTGAAGTTAATGGCAGAATGTATCTTTTAAAAGTAATTTGATATGTATGTTCTGCAGAAATATGCTTAAGGGTGGGGGCACTGTTTTTTTACTCTGTGCTCCAAAGATGATGTATCGCTTAATCAGTGCTATGAAAGCATATCAGTCCATATGGAGCTGTAGATTGCTAACTGATAACTAATGTTTAAAAGAAGTTTTTAATTTATATTAAAACTACTTTTCTAATTTAAATATTCACAAGTCTGTACTTGTTTGGAGCAATTTGAATGCAAATTCTCTATAGAATAGTTTTCTTAATTTGGTGGTGACTGGTACCATGTGCTTGTTTTGATTCGCAGAGAGCTGAAGAAGGCACAGATGGCTAAAGCTGCAGCAGAAGAGCGGGTGTTGTTCACAGACAGAATGATGACCAGGTCGACAGCACAGACAACTAGTAACAGGACCTCAAGGCTAATTGGAAAGAAAATGAATCGTTCGGTTAGCCTTACGATTTATTGAAGTGGACTGAAATCCCCGCAAAGGGAAAGTTTGTGTTGGACCAAGGTCTGCAATGCCTTAGGATGAAGGCAGAGTACGTTTGATAAAACTGCTGTACTTTCTTTGGTAGTGCTTACTATTGGGTACGTGTAAACTGCAGTTAAGTGAATCTAGAACTAAAACTCAACACTCGGTCATTGCTGCCCTTGAGAGTTTAGGGATGTAACATCCCCAGCATATGTGGGTGCTCTTCAAACCTTCACTATCAAAATAATGTACTAGAAGCTTTTTGTTCTCATTGTGAGGGAATTAAAAGTTAACAGTAGATATTTGCACCTTTTACAGCCTGTGAAAATACCTGACCTCGGGTAATATATTTGATAAACCAGTTTTTATGAAAAAATATCAAATTGAGCACTTTGTAGGCAATGATGAAGCCTTGGAATTTATTTTCTTGGTGACCTTGCCATATGAAACCTGCTGCTATTAGTGTTTTGTTTGTAACTGTAGCATTAAAAACAATCACTTCCAGGTTATTAGGCTTTCTTAAGTATGTGAATAATGCAACTGTCTTTTAGCTGTTTTTATAAGATTTTATTTTTGTCTTTGTTGCAGTATACTCTGTAGTTTCATACTTTCTCAGTGTATCATACTGTCTAAACTAGTGTATAATAGTTTTTTCAGCTTTGTACAAACTGTCCTAAATCCAGTAAATATAAAGATTTTCAAAGCTGTGGTCCTGAGGTCTTCTCTCCCCTCCTTTTCCTGTGAAAACCCGGATGTGAGCTGAATCTACTACCCTCTGTTCCAAAGATGCCTTAATAGAGCTGCAGTATGTTAATTGCTGAGTGTTTTAAATGGAGGGTGCTATTCCAATAGTTTAGTGAATGAGTAGCAAATTGATGGAATGGCTTCTCAATTCAGAGAGAATGGTGTAGGTTTTCGATCTCCACTTCTGAAGTAGCTGATGTTATTTTGACTGATGAAATACCTGTGTTGTGCACTGTGTAAGCTTGTAGTTTCGGATAGAACCAGAAGATGGCAGATTGTATTCAAAATTGCTGTTGTCAATAGTTACAACTGTCAAAATATTTTAATCTGTTCCAAAGAGAATATGCTGTTTAAGAACGTCTTGATAGTTTTCTTTATGGAAACCAGCCAGTCTTTACCTTCTGCTGCTATACACTCCAAATGCTGTTCAAATTGAGGGATGGTAGCCAGGGGATTGTGATCTGTATTATGTTTTAGTTATGTGCATGTTTAATTTTGGATGTTTTCACATACAAAAAAAGAAATGCTGTACAAAACACTCGGTTCTACTGTGAATACCAAATGCATAACTAGATTGCCAAGTTAAACTACCCCACAGCTGTGATGTTCCACATCTTTTCACTTTTTTTTTTCAGTATTCTTGCCTGATTGTTCCAACTAAGCAGTTCCATTTAACCTTGAATAACTGTTGAAGATCTTGAGTTGAGTTGCAGGTGCATGTTTCTTTTTCAGTTCCACATCTTGTGCTCTGTTCATCTCTGTAAAATGACCCGTGAGGATGTTGGGCAGTGGATTTAGGTACCACCGTCAGTCCCTGTGGGTTTGTAACACTTGCCTCAGCGTGTGGCTGTCTGCTGTGTGATGGGCTGGCGTCCCATCCAGGGTGTCTTTGACTTGCATTTTTTGCTTGCTAGGATAGGCTCTGGCTGCCCCGATACCATGTATTGGTTAGGAAATGAAGGGATGGATTAGAGAGCCTATGTGCTCAAATCCTTAGCCAGAGCCATTTTATTCCATCCCCAATGGATGGATCTGCACCTGTGGCTAGAAGGTTGCCGGTTCAAATCCTGCAGCTGGCAGAGGAATCCTACTCCGGCGGGCTCCTGAGCAAGGCCCTTAACCCCAACTGCTCCAGGGGTGCTATAAAATGTCTGACCGTAAGCTTTTCTACCTGTCTGTGCGTCTCATGGAGAGGAAACCGGGGTATGCGAAAAAGACAAATTCCTAATGCTAGAAATTGTATATGGCCATTAAAGTGATCTTATCCTATGCCGTCTTATACAGAGGAGAGATGATGATGGGATTTAACATGAGTAGGAGACATCCCAGGAGAGGGCTGACACGGATGGTGTCTTGAGGCTATCTAACATTAAGGAATGAAATTGGAACTGCTGTTCATGTTTCCTGAGATCTTGGAAGAAATATCTGAGAGAGGTCCTTGTATTTACAGGCTACATTGAGCAGCCAAATGAAATCGACGGCATCGTCTCAGTTATGACCTTTCTTATGCTATTTTCTTGTTTTGCTTGATGAATGCTCTGATACTACAGGCTTATACTATTGATCTTAGTTCAGGTGGGGAGCTGCGTCAGCATGCGTAGGCTGCAAAGGAACAAGTAATAGGTTTATTCCATGCTGAAAATAAAAACGTTTTGGCCGTGGGGCCTTCTTCGGGTGTGAGGAAGACAATGCAGTGAGCGAAGGGAGAACAGGCTGGGAGAGAGGAGGAGCGAGAGGCGGGAGCAGGGGACAGAGAGGCCAATCAAGAGGTGTGAAGTCAGGATAGGTGTAGGGAGGTGTGAAATGAAACCTCCAATGAATGGAGAAAACTTAGAAGAAAAGTAGTCTGTCTTTAAGAGAAGGGGGAAGTTGTGATCCTAGCCGCAGGATAATTTTGGTTTCTGTAGTCTTTCTGACTTAATGTAATTGATTTATATTAAGTATTTAAAATTATATTAGTTCTGAAGAAAAAAAACTCGACATTTGCAATTTTATGTATTTTATTTGGGAAAATATTGAAAACATTAAAAACTTACAGAACTGTTCTCACATGCCATTCAAAAGACATGCATGAGTGACTCCAGGCTCTGTGCGGGAAAAATGAAGTATTAGTAAGCAAGCCTTGTGCCGTTTGCTCACATCACACCTGCTCGCTTCCTGAAAGGGCGGGATAACCTTTTAGTCCAAAACCCAGTGATATCTGGGGTCTCGAAAGACGTAAGGGTGCATATGATTATGATATATATCAACTCAATGTGAATTAAGACTGTTTGCACACCTGAATTGGAAAAATTATAATTGCGATCAGGGGATGCCCATTTCATTTAAACATTTTAAACACGAAAGGAAGTGATAGCATTTGTCGTGGGAGTACTAAGAAAATTATAATTGAATTAATCTAAACACGTGAATTCACGGGTCGTTTCCTTTGAATCGACTTTTAATATCGATCCACACATACCACAGTGACTTGTCACCAGGAGCGAGCCATCAGACTGTTATTGACATAAAAATAAAAGCTCTTTAACGGTGAAAATGTTCAATAGTCTCCCGTCCCTAGGCAGCGCTGAGGTGCTTGCGCCAGTGGCTCAGTGATTTCACTCAGAGCCGGCGGAGTGTCGGTCATGTGACCGGCTCCCATTGTACAGCACCTCTGCAGAGATAACAGAAACTTTGTTACGGGCGCACAGATCTGCGAGTGTTTTGATACTGCTGGGTAAAACGGTTCAAAATGGGACTTCGGGAAGAGCTTTTAAAGTCCATTTGGCACGCTTTTACGGCTTTGGACGTGGACAGGAGCGGGAAAGTATCTAAATCGCAGTTAAAGGTAAGGTTGTGAAGCAGTTCGTTACTTTTGTTCGTGCTGGAAATCGTGCTTGTACCTTTCCAGGCGAGTTATTTTTTTCCTCCTAGAGACCTGAAGTCAGGCTAATGCGCACTAATCAGACGCTACTTAAAGTGAAGTCGCTGCCTTTTAAAAAACAAATCAACGTGGGTTTAGCCCAAGTAAGAAAATAAACTGTTTTACAAGCTCCGTTTTTATGTTCGACTAATTGTAATTCCTAATACAATAAATTATATATGGCCAATAAAGTGATCTTATGTATTTTGCAATGTTAAATGACATGCACCAAGCTTTAGACAGAGCAAATCTTATCGGGTAAAGAAAGCAGTAGTTGTACACTAATGGTTAACCCTATACGAATTTTCAGTGATGGGAGGTGTAGTTAACGTAATCCATCTGCGCTTTATTGCTTTCCAGATCCTAAATGGTTAAAGTCGCAATTGCTTTGGTGACGTATTGTAAATCCAATAACAAAAATAAGGAGTCAGATGTGTCGGGTTGCCCAGTATCGGAGTTGTAATAATTAGTTGACAGCAACCACGTCTTTTACTAAAACATTTAATAAAAGTGTGTTATAGACGTATTTGACATCATACTATTGACGTCGGGTACATGTAAATAAACGAAGCTCCGAAGTGGAAGAAAACGTTTTGAATTGTGTTCACAGTAACATCTGATACCCAGTCTCACAATTTGTGGCAATTTTAAATTAAAAGGTAGTGCTTACAGCGTTTCCCATGTTTTACACATACTGTTTTATTATATGGTTTTATCTGATACTACTTCTAAAAATTATGTTTGCCAGCTACCCGTTCGGAGAGCATTTCATAATCCCTCTTTAATTTATTCAGAAAGGAAAGAGATTCTTGAGATTACTGGTCCGAGTGACGCAATTGCCTGTTTTTTAAACGAGATCCATTTCCTTCTACATTCTATACTGGGCCTGCACATGTGCATAAAACCCGAAATTACAGCACCGTGTCAAATTGTCTTTGCGTTGCTTGCATTACCAAGAAAAATGTTAGATCGTGCAGACTTAGTGTTGGTAACACGGTAATTGGGAATCATTTTATGCTAAAATGCCAAACTACAGCAAGTGTAGGATTTACAGGACTACAAAATCCAGTCTTTTGAAATAACATAACACAATATCACTTTATTAACACTATACTATTTCTTGGATTAGGAATTCGTCTTCTCGCATACCTCAGCTTGCTCTCTATGAGACACATAGACACAGACGGGGAGAGAAGCCTGGGATAAATGTATTAGCCTCTCTTGCTACTGTATATATTAACGTTTCTTGAATTCTTAATTGACTCCCTTAAGGCACGAACTGGTTTTGTCGGAGTTGATGTGGGTGCTGTACCTTTAATAAAGTACACTGGACGTCTCGTTAGATATCCTTTCTCACTGTCATCAGCTTTTCACATGACCAGTGGTGGGGAAACTGCTTATATTCATATTTTGGCTCTTTCTTCTCTAAGCAGAACTGCATTGGTTGACAAAATGAAGACATGTTGCCATACACTGTAAAAAAAAAAAATACATACGGACCTCTCAACAGTATCAAGTGGATAGTAATGATGAAATCAATGGTGATTTCTTTCCAAACACCATTGAAGGCAGATTTCCATTTAATTAATTTTGTGCTTGCAAGACAGGCAGTACCTTAAGCCAAAAAGTTCATTACTTACTGCACACAGTGAATTGACATCAATTAAAAAACAAACATACTGTAGTGCTATGCGTTACAATACCAGGAAGCAAAGGAACGAAACGTTGGATGGAGCATAAAGGCTAGAACAGTTTAATTAAGGCAGAATGCTGGACGTGATGAAATGAGACCCGTGTTGTTGGTTTACCCAGCCTGGCTGAGGCGTAAGGAAAGGCCCGTCCACTCAGTGAGGTGAGGAGAGGGGAAGATGTGAGGATACCTGATGTTTAGGAACAAGTAATAGGTTTATTCCATGCTGAAAAGACACCTGTGTGACACTTGAAGAAGGCTCCACGGCCAAAACGTTGTGTTTTCTCTCTTCTCTTTTCAGCTAGGAATAAACCTTACCTGTTCCTTTGCAGCCTACGCATGCTGATGCAGCTCTCCACCTGAACTACTTCTACCTGATGTTTAGGCTTATTGGGATAGAAAGAGGCGAGTTTACAGCTGTCCTCCTACTACAATTTCAGTGACAAAACCTCAATGTAATGGCATGGACTTAAAACCATTAAAAACTTTATCAATCTGGAAGATCTGCAAAGCCCTCTGGATGTACATTGAAGGTTCCCCCTCTGAAATAATTTATCATTGGCTGTGTATGGGGGTGCTGTACAGTCCTCTCCCTACATGCCTTGACATTATTGTGTGTTTTATCTGCTTTTATTTGGAAAGATGGATGTGCTATGTATGTGTTACTTAATGTAAGATGCAAATACAAATAAAAAAATACTTTCAAAATTATTTGAAATGTATCACATTTGTAGCATGTGCTACCTATCTTTCAGCATACAGCTGTAGTACAAAATACAAAAGAGGAAGCGAGATCTGGCTAAAAATACTTGACCTTCCAGTTGAGAGCTGTTTCAGCAGAGCTTTGCATCAAAGGTCATTCTGTAATGCTGTTCAGATAAAACATAAAGACTTTTATTTTGGAAAGACACGCTTTTTAGTATGAAGCGTATTGTCTTCTCTGATTTACACAAAGCAATGTTCTTTGTTCATGAAAAAATGTGGGTCACAGACCACCTACACAAGAATCATGTTCGCCTTTTCTGCATGCTGTGCTAAGTTTAGCATTTCTGTAGTGTAGTCAGACTCAGAAGTGAGTTAAAAACCACCTCACAAACCACTGTAAAATAAGGCTTGCATAATGATCTTGCATACTACGTCTACAGAAAGAGCTAGTTTACACAAAAGAGGCTGATGGCCAGTGTGTATGTTTTTTCCAAAGACAATCCCTCTGTACTTAAATACTTCAGACCTGATGTATGGAGGTAAACTGGCACTGAGCTCACTTCTGGAGATTCTAGATTCAAGACCTCTGAGTCTGAGCAACCAGACCTAATTTTAAAATCCAGTAGTCTTCAAGTCGAGTGAGCTACGCTCCCATGTGATAGCAATAAGATTGGGTTCTGAGTTGGTGGTCATTTTAAGCAGAATCTGCTGCTGCACAATTAGTTGGCTTTGGTTTCCTTCAGCAGGGGGAGAGGTTTATGGCCTGATCTTTTTTTGCTCTGGTGACTGTGGGGTTAGGGATTTTGCCGCCATCTGCGTGGGGTTGTTTGTAATTTCGGCCTTGCCGTGAAGTGGCGGGGCGGGCCCAGCTGTAGTGGCTGCAGACCACATCTCCACCCTCCCGCCTGCTCTGCACAGATTGCCGAGGGCACGAGATACCCAGAGCAGCTGGCTGTGACGAGACGTCGCACTGCGTCGGGCGCTACGGCTCATTGAAGCTCTGCGTAGCTCCTGTTTTGCAATCCAGCATCGCATCACTCAAAGGACCTGCCAGCCAGTGATCCCGTTTCCCTGCCTGCCTGGGTTTTCCCTGTCGCCTGACTCCGCTGGGGGCATACCCCCGTCCCTGTGGCCCTGTAGGTGTGTGTGTGCTGGCAGTGAGGTTTGCTGCTGCGTCGGACCTGCAGTCCTTTTGTGGTGTTGATGCTTCGGGGGCCCAGCAGCACTGGAGTCCAGCGCCGCTACTGGTCCTGGTGGTCCTCCCTGTCCTCCCCTGCCTGCACTCCAGCCCTGTGTCCAGCCTGCACCCCTGCCTGTACTCCACCCCTGTGTCCACCCCTGTGTCCACCCCTGTGTCCACCCCTGTGTCCAGCCTGCTCCCCTGCCTGCACTCCACCCCTGTGTCCACCCCTGTGTCCACCCCTGTGTCCAGCCTGCTCCCCTGCCTGCACTCCACCCCTGTGTCCACCCCTGTGTCCAGCCTGCTCCCCTTCAGTGCGATCTATCCTGCCTGGCTGACCAGCCCTTCCCTGACCCCCCTTTATTTATCTTTATTAAGTTCCTCATGAACTGTGTTATTTTGCTAAGTGTAGATTTTATTTAGAGCCAGGTGTCTATTAGTGCTACAGTTTCTGACAGGAAGAGAGTAGTGTATGGTAGCATAATAGCTGTTTTTGTGTAGTGCAGTGGTACAGTTATCTGCATTGCTGCCTTGCAGTGCCAGGGCCCTGGGATCAGTTCCTGAGGTGCTGTCTGCATGGAGTTTATATGTTCGTCCCTGTTTATGTGGGTTTCCTCTGGGTGCTCTGTTTTTTTCCCACAATCCAAAGACATACTGGTAGGTAAATTGGCTTTGGGGAAATTAGTGTGTGAATGTTTGTATCTGCGTGCGTCCCGTTTAACTTGTTTCCTGCCTTGTGCCTGTTGCTTGCTGGGATAGGCTCTGTCTCACCCGCGGCCCTGTTCTGGGCCTGTTTTTAGCACTAAGAAAATGGGTGGATGGACTAGCTCTTCTGACCAGGTGGATCTCCTCAGCTGAACATACAGGAATACTGTATACAGTTCTGTTGGTCAGGCCTCTCCCCTCACTTTATCGGGTGTTTGCTCAGTTCCCCACATTGAGTTCCATTAACATCCAGCAGACAGTGTGAATGCCTTTGAGCTCCCATCCACCCCTGAGCCAAGATCAGTGCCTTGGTACAGACAGTACTGTGTGCTGATGTCTTTGTCACATGTCGCATCTGTCATGTGCTGTTGCTGGTTGAGCCTGCCTGCAAGAGATGGTATTGTTCTGATTCAGGGAACTGCATCATGTGAAGACCATCATTTCCTTGGCTGTATGGGTGATGGTCTTTATCTGTATATGTGCGCTGTATAGGTATACTTGTCTCTCTTATCCATCGAAGATAAGTTTTCACTGCTTCATTATTTGTGCGTCATTAATCAAAACACAAGCAAGAGGTGTATTTCAATTTACAGATGGAAACTACAATTTATAGTTCTACTTATTTAGGTATAGACAGTGCCTTTAAGAACCAGATGAAGTCTGATTAAATTAATCACTTTTGTTTTTGTGCTACATGCATTGATGTGTCCATCTTCATATCTGCAAAACCTGAGCTTTCTCTTATCTTTATTGACAGTGCAGAACCATAGATGTAATGTGCTGGTGCATAAAGCGTAGAAACTATGGTGCTGTTCTCCTTTTCTCACACAGATGTGTGTCAGCGTCTTGTCTGCGGTAATGTGAAAACTATCTTTGGCTTGTGGAAAGAGTATGCTGGCACAGTAAATAGTAGACCTTCAAAGTGAAATTCACATGCTAAGCTTGTAGCTGGCAGTTTTGATATACTGTATGAGATTTCTTTATCATTACACTTTCCCCTTAAAAATTACGTAGTTACACATGGGAATTCTGATCTTTGTATTTTTTATGGGTTTTTCTTACACGTTCATAGATGCTTTGGTGTGCTGTTATTGTCTTGGCTTTGCCGATCTGCAGATGTTTTTCGTAACATTCCCATTAACTAAACTCTGAAGTTACATATGCAGTATATTTAATCAAAAAACAGCCTCAGTGCTGTCGCAAGGTGAGGGTTTCAGCTACCTTTATACCCTGTATTATCACAGAAACCAGTAATGTATTGTAAATTTCTATAATGACACGATAAGATAGCTCCTATATTTTGAAGAAGCTGTCCAAATATTTTGTTGAAACTATTGGATGAAGATCCTTGGAACTGCTAGGATCCACAGAAGACAGATGATCCACATAGCCACATAGGCAGAGAGACTGGAGTTTCGCAGACTGGTAGCCCCAAACTGTGTTTGTATTTTCTCTTAGAATAACTAGAGACATTTCAGTGTCTCTTTGTTGGACATGAACATTCAAAATGTACAATATTATGTAATGCCTAAAAAATAAGCAAGAAACACTAAAAGGCTTTCTTGCCCCTGTGATGATGGTACACCAGTATGAAAAAACATACGTTCTACATCTCCACGGAGACCCGCTAAGGCTGTCTTACACTGTGTCAGACTAGCAGAGCAGGGCTTATTTTCAGAGGATAGGAGTTGTTTTCCTGACTGACTGGCACCAGTCTGAACCGCAGCAATCTGTGTGCTCAGCCTTGATAAAGCTGCAAACAGGAAGGGGCTGTCTGTGGCAGTGGGGTGGGCAGACAGCTTGCTTCGTCAGCTTTCTCGTAACTCTCACACAACACGGCATGCTTGGAATAGCGTTCACAATGTGTACTGCATTTGGATTCAATCTACATACAAAAAAAATTGTATGAGTCAAGTAGTGGAGTTATAGGTCTGTTTTTGTCTTCTGCTCCCCACAAGGGTAAGGAATAACTGGGCTGTGTCTCCTTAGCGTCGTCTTAATTGTTGTGAAACATGCTTTTGTTTCAGCAATTTGAAGGAACGATGTTGTGGGGATGAATTGAATGTTGCACCACTAAAGGTGAATATTGTTGAAACTGGAAGAAAAAAAGAGGTAGCTGTAGTTTGAATTTGAAGGTGAAAATCGTATTTTGTTAGCTGCGGAGGTGCTGGTTTGTTATGTCACTGTAAGTTTTATTATTGCAAATGGTGTTGCGATTTAATACATTGAAGGCAGCTGCACCTGATTGCACCAACACTGATCAGGTTGAGACCCTTTTCTGCAGTAAGGAGAACTGCCAAGCCAGGCGTGAAATAGTTCTGGGACATGACTAAACTCTGATGACAAGCACACATTTAGGAGGGGAGTTTGAAACTGCAGTGCACTTAGCCTAATTAAAACTTTCTACTACTCTACAATATGAAAGATGATGAATAAATAAGAAAAAGCCTTTTTACAATCCATAAATCACACTTCTTTTTCACGCACACATATTTGGATATTTAAAATTTAGCTCAAGAATAGAACTTAGCATTGTTTTTTTTTTGCTTTTAGCAACATTGATGGATTTAAAGCAACAACGACTGCTGGTTTTAGCTGAACCTTGCACTCGTCCTGTTCTGGACATCCACCGATTAAAATTGTCCACTTCATTATAGACTCTTTCTGAAGTGAAAACATAAATGGTTAGAAATGGTTAATACAGCTAGATTTTAAAAAGCAGATATACAATTATTTTTCTAATGGTCTGCCTGGAGTTTTATTCCCCTTATTGGTTCAGTGTAGGTGTCAGTTTTTAAATTCATTCTTTACCAAAGAGACATGCTCGACACGAGGCACTCCCCTTCCCAGAGGTCCTATGAATGTCTGGGAAGTGAGCAGGAGCGCCGCAAATGACCACAACTGTCCTTCGGCGCCGACACACAGCCACAAAACCGAGAGACACACCGCTCCCACAGCGAGACACACCCCACAACACCCCCCCATGTGTGCCACACGCTGCTCTACACTGCGCTAAAAAAAAGAGAGACACAGCACACACAACAAGAGAGCACACGAGACGAGAAAAGCATCTCGGGGGGAGTGGCTTTACTCTGAAGGTGCTGCAGGTACGATGTTTCTCTGACTGTGTTTCTTTCCTTCCCAGGTTCTCTCTCACAATCTGTGCACAGTGATGAAGATCCCTCATGATCCCGTGGCACTGGAGGAGCATTTCAAGGACGATGACGAAGGGCCTGTTTCCAATCAGGGGTACATGCCCTACCTGAATAAGTTCATTCTAGATAAGGTAAAGTTCCAGCTCCCCACCCACACGCTCTTTTGAAGCTTTCTTCTTCTTGTCGCTCAGCGCTGCCATAGCTTCTGCAAGCCCATAAAAAAAACGCTTTTCAGGAACCACTGGGGCTTTTGCAGTGTGCACTAAAAGAATTTGGTACAGCACCTGGCCTTCACAGGACTTTCCTGGCTGTTTGTTCAGTCAGCAAGTGCAGAACCTTCTCATCCAGTCACCCTAAATGATCGTCAGTTACTTGAACAAAAATACCTCCAGAATTCAACTGGTGTTACCTCCATGTGGATTTTAAAGGAATGTCTGGCTTCCTCTATATGTGTCTAGAAATAAGTGCAGCTCTGTCCGGTAACTGTATTTCTTTTAGCAAAACCTCATTATAATTCTGACTCTGTAGGGATCTCTTCAGTCGTTTATTGTTCTGCATTAGGAATGCATTATGTATTTCCCAGCACCGATGAGGCAGTTATTTCCTGCTGTGTCTCTTTTTCTATAATTTGTGTCTCAAGAGTTTGGTGTCGGTGTTATGAATACTCCAATAACCTAAAGATTTTGAAAAGGCAATTTATGTGAGCGTGGGAACTGGTGGCCATGCAGCTCTTGAAGATACCCTTGCAGCACATCTTACAAGAGGGCCTTCATTGTCACACACCTCCCAGCCTGCCACCTTCTCGTCTAAACCTGGCAGCTGTGCAGGCAGCATCACACGAGAGCACTGTGTCAGCTTAAAAAAAGGAAGTTCCTGAAAATGTGTACCTAGAGATAAGACCATGTGGGGACATTGCTGTCCACATACAACCTTGCTGGCCTCTCTTGGTTCCATGTCAGAAGAAAGTGATATGCAAAGAATACAAACTACCGGGTCTGTCGATTTTTAATACTCTGCTGGTTTTTAAGAATTCTCATTTCTGAGAATCGTCTGCAGGAGAATGTGAATTCCTGTGTTTGCCTGTCCTACCAATCAGTAGCCTGAAAAGCATGGATTTCTTGCTTTAGTTGAGCTGAGATTCTTATTTTAGATTTTTTTTTTAAATTTACAACAGAAATGGTTAATGTAGTAAGATTTGAAACTTATTTTGCTATGCACTATGCCTTGTTCTCCATGTGACGTAAGATGTAATTCAGTGTTGAGTTATGGATGGTGTCAGCTTGGAGCTATCAAATATCTCCTTATACTATTCCCATTAACATATTTGGATTTCTGTTTCCCTTAAAGTTCGGCAGGATTTCTCTTAATAACCTAACAATTGAAAGTTCAGGCACTCTCAACACATTTAAACACTTTGTAAAATACTGTTTAGTGTTGTGAATGAAATGAAGAGATTACTGTTTTATGATCTATAATATTTAAGCGGGGTACTTATGAAGCCTTTTTATTAAGCAATTTAGGTTCGTAGTACTTGATGTATAAGTAATTCAATTTTTTTCTATAGTCATTAAATGTTGTATTCACTTGGAATAACAGCATCCAGGAATCTCATTTGGTTTAACCTGCTTTGCTGAGGTCCAGCCCCCTGGCTGGAGGAGGAGGAGGATGGGTCTCTACTGCTGAGTGGCCAAGGGGGAGCTGTGCAGGTGGAGATGGGGCGGAGGACAGGGTCTTGCATGTAGTATTTATTGTTTTGTTTAACGGAGGAAATGACGTCTGGAATGATTAACGATTTAGCACATCTGAGGTCATCTGAACTTGGCTGCTGCTAACCCATCCCGAATGTTTGTTGTGAACTCCATTTACTGTTCTTTTGGTTGCTGAAAAATCAGTTTAGAGCTTGGCCTTTGTTTCCTCTGATTTAGCATATGAAAACTGTGACAAGTCCCCTGAGGTCTGCCGGTATATTTAAAAAACTCAAGGGCGTGAGTTGTGAGTTAGTCATTCAGAACTCAGCTTCCTTTGGTTTCTGGTTTCTATTTTTCACTGCACTTAAAGAAGGGCCTAGGTTTCTAGATCAGTCTCATTTATTCAGCTAGTAGCTTTGATAGGGTCCATCTATACTGCACCTCCTCTCATTACTCTTGTGAATGGCACTGAATATTTCTTTAAAGCAGGAAAGTACTCCTTGGTCTTTAACAAGGCCACCATTGTTTAAGTGCAGAAAGATGGAGAGAGTCCCAGATGGACAGCAAGGGGAGTGTGTGTGTGTGTGTGTGGTGGCGGGGGGGTAAGGTTTTGTGGCTGACGGAAGCTGCAAAAATAAAAGTGAGAAAAATTATTTCACACAAACATGGGATATCCCATCAGCTCTACCTTCCCCACGCACTCCCCTTACTGCTGAAGATGACTGTTCTACACCTTTCAGACTCTCCAGTCCACAGTATGTGTGTAAACGACTAGTTCTCAGTGCTTGTGTGTCCAAATAGACCACTGTGTCAGTCTTCTAACATTCGTGGGACAGCTTGTTAGGTTTAGACAGATAAGAATAGCCTTTTATGGTCACGTCTATGGCTATCTTCTGCATTTTAAGTTGTGTTCTCTGTCCCTAGCGATAATTAGGTGAAATATGAATCTTTGCATATTTCAGGCAAGACGTTTTAGGAGTTCTGCATTATTTTGTGTACCAGCGTTTAGGAAGAGGTAGCCCTAATTTCTTTTTCTTTGTCTCCCCGTTGAGGAGTGCAGTGGGGAATGCTCAGTTCATTGAGCCAGCACGTGTAGCAGGTGTCAAGGGTGGAATCAGTATGTAACCTAGTCTCCTAATACATGGAATATTATTCAGGGAATTTCAAGCACAGTTTTTTTTTATTGTGGTATTTTTTTAAACCAAGTACCTTTCTTTTCCAAGTTGTTATGGTCATCAGTATATGTTGCATAATTCTCTGGTAAAGAATAGCATCACATGCACTTTTCAGAGTGATTGTGTTTTTAAGGGTTTAAAGGTATGCGAGTCTCTCTCTCGTGTTTTTCTTTAAAGTTGTAAAACCTGCTTTACATGAAGCCAGTGAAAAGGCCTTTGGGTTGTTGAACATGCTTTTCACCATTTTCAGGCCAAAAATAATAATCAGAAAATAATTGTGAAACAAAAAATAGAAAGACCTGTCAGTCTGTGTAGTAGATTTTTGTTTAGGCTTCAATGAGGTGATTCTCTGGACAGAAATAACTCTGGCCCTGTTTGTATTCACTTTTGTTTTGATTTGTTATGCTCCGTGTTGTTCTAAATGTATGCATGTGCATTATGTTTCTTATTTGTTAATGGGTTTATGTTGTGTTAAATTGATTTCGCATTGTGTTGTCTTTTACCTGCCTGCAAAGTACATTTTCCATTTGGGAGAATAAAGGAAGTAAGTATCTCACTGAGCTCAGAGGAGGATGGACCAGCCTGATCATTGGTTTCCAAACTAAAATGACCTAATACTGTTATTTTTGGATAAAACCAATGACTCACTGTTGAGTGTGTCTCAGTGCAGTTCACTTTAAATTGAATATCACAACATCAATAGCTATTTCTGTTCTTTCTTCACCACCCTGCTGGCTTGGCATTAGATGTGCCACTAATCTGTAGGGATTTTTACAGTAAATGTGCCAGGAGTTTCCATGGTAATATAACAAACACCAATGTTAATTAGTTTACTGTTTGCAGAGAATGTTTCTGTCTCATGGTAGTAGCCTCCGTTAATGTGGTAAAGAAATTTGTATGCCAGACACATCTAGGAATTTATGATGAATGTTAAATCTCCATGCAGAGCCCCCATGCTTTGTTATACCCTGCTACAACAAGCTATAACAACACTGAGTGTTTACATTCCTCCTTGCACTTTCATTTAGCTTGCTTTTATGCATTCTCCGCCATGGGTTCAAGCTGTTTTGAATTCCATTGACCACTCTGTTATGAATGACTCTAAGCACATTTCACCAGAGTTACCTTGCATTTCGATGTGCTTGTTTTGTATTATTATACTATAAGTTTGATCACAACAAACTGCCATTTCAGAAAAATATGTAATAGTTGGTGTCTGCTGTATATTATTGGGATTACTAGTCTCTTACTAGTAATTTGGTTGAAACAAAAAAGCTTAAAATAGGCATTTTGGCTATACTATGTCTTGTGTTTGTAATCCACTATGCTTTTTAAGATGGTGATTTATTTATAGAGAGTCCACCTTTCCTAATAAAAAAACATTGTATTGTGCATAGAGAGTTATCCGTCTCCTTAATCCTTTTTAGCTGAGTGTAACTTGGTTTAGTGCTTGTATTTTGTGAATAGCGAAACGCAGTAGCCTTTTTATGTTTTTTTTTCATATACACATTGGGCAGAAATTATATGGCTTTCACATATAATAGAAGGGCAATAAATTGTGACCTTGTTACCTGCCATTTGGATTTTAAGAATAACCTACAATGGAAGAGTTCTTTAAACCATTAAAGCAGCAGGTTTTTGATTTGCATTATATTTTGAATAGCTGGTATAAACTGTAAACGTGTGTTCTGTGTGTAAATGTTATACCACAATGATAAAGAGCAAAGTTTTTTTTAATTTTTGTATTTAGTAAAATATTTAAGTCCACATCACGACTAGGGATACATTTTTAAGAAGAATGAAGGCCACAGGGATTTGATCATCTTTCCAGTACACTGAGTAATATTAGTAATTAGTATGCTTTCTTTGTTTGAATTTTGGATGCCTCTGTCTTTTCTTTAGGTCCAGGACAATTTTGATCGTTTGGATTTCAACAAGATGTGCTGGACTCTGTGCGCAAGAAAAAACCTCATTAAAAACTACTTGCTTATCACAGATGAGGATGCCTTCAAAATCTGGTGCATCTTTAACTTTCTCTCTGAAGACAAGTACCCTCTGGTTATTGTCACTGAAGAGGTGAGATTTCTTGCAGGTATATACTTAAATGACCTTTTTCAGCCACAGACCCACCTACGGCTGAGAACAATACCGACAGGAGAGCCATTCCCTACAGGATATTTGATTAACTCAATATCAAATACTTCATTGTCCCAAAAGCACAGCAGTTCTTTGTTTTTTTCTATTTGGTATGTATACATAATATTGGTCCCAGACTTGGGTAATTTGGTCATTATTGGGTTAATTGGTCCAGTTTAACAGCTTTTCACAGCTCTTCAGGTGCTGCTGCTTTAGAGACCTCCAGTATTAGGATTGGAGACCCCCAAGTGTGTGTGTGTTATTTTGTATAGTTTATGTGTATTTCCTGTAAATTTACAAAGTTACCAAACCTTTGTGAAATCTAAAAAATGTCAGCAGTGTTTTTGTCCTAAAATAAATTCTAATAAAGGGTCAAATTCTAGAGATGAAAATTATTGCTGATTATATTATGTTAAAGTAACAATTGATTACAGCATTCTGTTTTAAAGATGACAAACTCTTTACTGGTGATAGGCCATTGTACAAAGTCCATTTTGTTCTCCTTTGACTGGAATCTGATTTTCACTTCCACAGCTTTGTTGTTCACAATCTCATATGTTCATTAAGTATTGCTATTTTTATCTGTGCTTTATCTGCTCGTTAATCTTTCATTTTTGTTCCTTCTGCTCGCATAAGGGCAACTGAACTGTTCTAGTCAGTGTAAAGAAATTCCAGGGGGATGCCCAGTTCATGAATAGCTTCCTCAAAATAGTTAATTTGTAACTGTTCCTTGTATCTGAAACTATTCAGGCTTTAGACAATACAGCAGTATGCATTACAACTAGAAAAACAAGGAGACAGGTGACAAACATGATTCATAATGAAATAAAGACATTAATCAGATTCTTTTGTAAACCTGAAGGAAACTTGGTATGGTTTAGTATGAAAACAGGTATAGGCCTACTAAATTGTAGAATGAATGCTGAAAACTGGAAAACATGCAGGGGTTATAAACTGGTGGGAGATACAGAGCAGTCAGCTGTGTTGACACAAAACCATTTTAAAGGGACAAGGTCTCCCCTTGTTGGCTCTCCCAGGAATAGCCTTCATTGTCCCAGTCTTCTGAAGAAGAGGTAAGTGACTCAGGTTGCTAGGAGACAAGATTGGGACTGTGAATGCAATGGGTCACATGACATTTTTGTTGACAAAATGGCGGACACAGTAGTTGCTCAGAGCCTTTCAAGTAATAGGGGACATAAAGTTTGCAGCAGACAAGAAAAAAATACGACTTAAAAACATACTTGTTTCTGATGCAGCAGAGTTTCTGAAACCCAACATCTCCAATGTTTGTCAGTTTGCACTGCATAGTTGATTCATTTTATCTCAAAAGAAAATTATATCTGAAAGAAATAATTTGAAGTGAAATTTTGAATTTAGTACCTACACAAATTAAGCTTGTATTTATTTTGCTCCTGCAGTCACTTTCTGTTGTACCAAAAGTTTTGTTTTGAGTTATTTATTTTCATTTGCTATGTGCTTTATTTTTAAACATTTTAACAGTTAGCCTTGTTACAATTTTTATGTAGTAGAAACGTCTAAACGTTGCCTGTGTTCTGCTCTTTGGTTTCCAACAATGACACTCTGGAATCTGCTATTTTGTTCAGTAATAGTAATAGAACAGGAAGTTTGCTGCTTCCTGCTGTTTTGTGACCCCTGGGGATATATAGACCTGTATTTCTGCATTACAACCACAGGGATCAACAGCTAAAAACATCAGTCATATCTAGAAATCTGACCTTTAATTAGAAACCAATGGTAATTTAAAAATAAATATTCCTGAAGCACTTGCTAACACTTCTTTGAAATCAGATGTTAATATAGCCTCCTTTGTACCTTCCTAAGACTGTATTCAAGCCTGGAGTTTAATCATACTCATGTACTATTGTAGTTCTGTTCCATTTTTAAGATATTGCCCCACATAAACTGTACCTGGGGATTACTCAGTAGGACAGTTAATCTGTCAATCAATTATTCATTTTTATTAATTGCATTTACATGTGCAAACATCACTGAGTGGGCTAAGAGGATTTGGTAACAGGGGACAAGAGGAGGTTGAGTCTGCATGTCAGGATTTGTCTGTGAATCAGTTCAGGTTTTAGCAGCCTAGCAGTAAAAAGGCTCTTGAGACAGATCTTGGGACCTGCAGCTTTCCTGCTGTAGCTGTGTGCATAATGGGACAGCAGAGATGGGCAAGACAGCTTCTAGCCTAGTCAAGTATGGATCCTGAAACAGTTCCCAAGCTTGAACGTGTGTGTGTGTGTGTTTTGTCATCATTGCTTCACACAGATTGAGTACTTTCTACGGAAGCTCACGGATGCCATGGGTGGGAGTTGGATCGAGGAGAAGTTTGAGGACTACAAGACCCAGCTAAACAGCAAGGAGCAGTGCCTGACGGCCTGGGAGCTGATCGACCTGATTGGGACAGGGCAATTCAGTAAGGGAATGGACAGGCAGACCCTCTCCATGGGCATCACTGAGGTCTTCCAGGAGCTCATTATGGATGTGCTCAAACAAGTGAGTCTTTTGATTTTACATGGCAAGAATGATAACATTATCTTAGAAGCAATGTTTCTATTGCTTTTGGGTTGCATTAGAGTTGAATATATATATATAATTGAATATATATAAGTTGAATATATATAAGAAGCATATATGCTTCTTAGTTTTTAGAAGAGTGGGCTGTTCATTTCTCTTTACATGACTTAAAATGGATTAACTTCTGGATCCATAGGAACAGCTGTACAGTTCACACTTCGACATCAACACATTTCTATCCCCAGAAAAAGTCCCATAGGATTGAGAAATATTCTTTTAAGTGCCAGTCGGTCTTTTAGCAGTAATGCTGTTGAAAGCTGGAAAAGCTTGGAACAGGTCCTCTCGTAATAATTTCTGAAGGTTCAGTTCATTCAGACTGTTCAGGAGGAATATTGATGTCACTGCGATGATAGTGGCCTGAGATGTTACTATTGACTATGATGCACGGAAGCCAGATTTGTAGTCATTCACAGTTGCTAACATGATAAACATAAGATGAAAAATTATAGGTGCTTTACTTATACTCCCCTAACAAGATCAGGGAGATGTTACATTAAATTGAAACTGTGATAGCTGTCCTTCAAGTGATATGTAGGACTTGTCAGCTAATAGCATATGGACATTTCAAAAGAATGCAAAGAAAAAAAAAAACTAGACAGAAATGTTTTCCTGTATCAGTTCACTGAATTCTGTACCATTTCATTTTTAATATGGCTGTTTTATTAATACTCAAAATTCCATTTTCTACAAAAAATCTGCACTCCAAAAGTAGCCTTCCTTTCACTTTAAAACATTAATGAGCAGAAGTCGCTGTCAAATTTAGAATATCACAGCAACAGTCAAGTCTTCAGAGGTATGTCGGTATGATCAATGCTGTTGATTTTGTGGCTGCACACTGGATGAATGGCATGCATTTAGACCTTCTTCATTCAATTTCTTTGGCCACGATTGAATAGGATGGGTTGAAATGGTCCCGTGTTCGCAGTGCCAGACACTGCCAGCTGCAGATTTGCAGAGAGAATAATCAAAGATTCACAGCTAGACTTCGCTAGACTTCACTTCAGGGTTGTTACGCAACTGAATCATTCTGTCCATGTTGTGCATCATAATCTCACAATTCTCTCTGTATAAATTAGACAACTGTTACTAATGTGGTGGTTCTTATGATTTGCAGACTTCATTATTTTCTCTTTGGTCTGGTTACGTTTGGCCCGTATTGAGGAGTGAAAGAACAAATCTTGATTGGCTCAGTGTCATTTGTTCTTTGGCGTAAATCATAGCACAGACACTATTGGTTATTCTTCATAAAAAATAAAAATAGTTTTTATTTCTCTGTGAAATGTACATACTGTGATTTTGTTTCAAGAACCTGATATGTTAATATTTCTGTCAATTATTATCCTGGAGCAGCTGCTCAGTAACTCACTTGTTTCAGTTTGCTTTTCCAAAAACTTGCTTTACTTTCACATAATGGGAATAGTAACTACTTTGTGAAAATCTGGCGGGCAGAGTAACTATGTGTTAGAAGCACTTCCAGAGAGTGGCCCAGGATAATTCTTTCACAGTTGGTTGCAGACTCTCGCCCTCAGCATTTTTCTGCCCTTTACATGTCCAGTTCAGATTTAGACAAGCGAGAGTGTTCAAGACTGAGAAAGCACCTGGCAGATGCTATTTAATGTAGTTTGGTTTGAGGTGCTCCGTTAGTGGTTGATTTTCACAAATTACCTTCCCGTGAAAGTGTGGCATAAAATGCTTGTTTGGTGGATAGTAGTATTGATGCATTGGATGTACATAATGTTAACACAAAGGAGAATAATCTATACTAATAATCTGTAGTAAGATAAGACGGCTAAAGAGAAAATTACAGGACTTGTTTCCTATGTTAGATGAAACAAATAGGGAGAGACCGTTCCTGGACTTTACCACTCACCACAGCTTTTTCTCAAGATGAAAAATCATACATTTCACTGCGTACTAGAAGGTGCTCTTGATTATTTTTGTTTTTGTGATAAAGATGTGATGCAATATCTTTTGACTATTGGGACATTCTAGCTAATTACTGCATTAATTAAAAGTCCACACCTTATTTTGCAGAAGGAGGGGCAAGACAAACTCAAATAGTGCCTCTCAATCAATCCCTTAATGCTAACCTCTGAACAATGAAATATGAATAAGGTCCTTTGTATGGGAGACAAGAAAAAAGGCTTTACAGAACAGCCTTCAGTGAGTGCTTCCTCTTTAATGATTTAAAAATACAATAACCGTTACAAATGTGGGGAAGTCATTCAGCTCATCAATCCACTTTAGAAGGCAGTAGCTAATTGGTGTGAGGATCTAATTTAGACAAGATGAGATATTTCTTGAAAAAAAACAGCTTCTACAACATGACTGAGTCACTTGCCTTAGACTCCCACAACTTTGTGCAGCATGTTCTCAGTTTGAAATGCATTGTCTCACTGGTTTCCACTACATCCTCTGGTTTGTGATTCACCGCGCATCAGAACATAAACCACAAGGTCATTCCTGCCTGTGCTAGACTCTTGCTTACTCCTTGGACAATGTTATCCACCTTGTCTCCTGGGGGACAGTGTGATGTTGTTTACTTGGGGTCCTCTCTATATAACTCACTTGCACTGTTCTTGAGTCTCTCTCAACCACCACATGTGTTCTTGTGTTTTTGCTGTCACTGGCACTGCCTGACATCGTGGTGGCTGGTGTCTGAATTTCAGTATCTACAATGGTGGTGTCCTGGGAGCTGCTGCCTTCAGCTTCCAAGTCTTGGTTGTTAGTTTTGAGGTCCTGGAGTAGAGCAAAATGCCACCAGCTCCTCTGTGTTGCTGCTCTGATAAGGGTGCATCTCCCCCTGAATGTGGGATTTGCACATTCCTCTGCCTCATGTTGCTCTCTTGGTTTCTGCTGCTCCACCGCCATTGTCTTGAGTTTTTTATAGAGTGACTGGATTCTTGGGCAGTTTTCACAGTTGTAGTTTACCTCAGGTCAGGTCTCTTTTGGGATACTCACGTGTTACACGAATCACAGAAGTGAAGAACATGTTGAATGTCTTCCTGTATTTTTCTGTTTAATATCTATATATATAGTCATTAATGCGTTTGGCTTGCTCTAGCCTTTCTTTAGTGGCCTTCCACAGATAAACCCCCTGTCCCCTGGGTGTGGGGCACTTTCGTTCTAGCTGACACTGTATGAAATTGTCAGTAATATACACTATGGCAAGTTGGGAATCTACAGCTGGTCAGTTGACACTTCTCCGTGCTTGCAAAATGCTAGTTGTTTGGTTTTCCCTCTAAATCTCTAAAGTAGCAAAACTATTTTTTATCTTAATCTCTCTTTACAAACTCTAGCTAGCCAAGCTACCTGTACAGACTTAACCCTACTCAGCTACAAACTTGATTATTCAATTTGTAACTGCCAGATCAAGACCTGACAGCAGCTGTTACATGAGTACATTTTATTTTTTGGATCTAAGAAACAGTACAGAGAAGAAACCAGCTTTTAGTTGCACCTCTCCTCTCCAATACATGAACGTTATTGATTTTGATCCCCCCCACCTTGCCAGTGGTCCTGTGCTGATCTATTGACATAGGCAACGGATTGGATGTCATTGAGTAGGAAGTTTTGATTGGCTGTCGATGGAATCTGGTGAGAGCATATTTCCAGAAACTTTTTTTTTTTCTTCACGGCAGGGTTACATGATGAAGAAAGGGCACAAACGGAAAAACTGGACAGAGCGCTGGTTCCTGCTGCGCCCCAGTGCTATTTCGTACTACGTGAGCGAAGATTTAACGGAGAAGAAGGGGGATATTACCCTGGATGGGAACTGCTGTGTGGAGGTCAGAGGTTCACTTGTCTTTCCTAAGAGCAACAACAACCATCTTTTCATTTTTCTGCCTGGCCAGTTGTAGTGATCTTCAAAAAGCTCGAAAGAACTAGATATAAAAATTCTGTATTAATGAACATTCTGTGATTTCAGGTGAGATATTAAGACTGGAATCGATCTGGGGGATTTGTTGTTTCTTGACCTCCCCTTCCAAATCTGTACTTTGTGATTTTACTAATTCACAGAATCTTACACAAAAAAACATCACTACATCCCTGCGGTATACTTCAACAGAGATATATTTTTGCTCAGCACAAGGAATTGCATCAGAAACAGTAATCAGCTTTTGTATTCTAAGAATCGCTTTGGTCTCTTTTCTTTCCCACAAGACCATAAATTATGGGAAGTTGGGGCACATTTGAAGTAGGAGTGGTCTTACTCATTGTGTAATACCCTTACATTTCTTCATAATAAGCAATCCTTAATCAACAGAGTTTTTGAAATTCTTGCCCACCCTTTGTTCATCAGCTTCCTTTAACCATTGTTCATTCCTTATTGGCCTAAGCCAAAGGAAATCTGGTGTAAATAAACATACAATAATTTTCTTGTTGCAGTCATTACCGGACAAGGAGGGAAAGAAATGCCTCTTTATTATAAAATGCACTGACAAAAGTTTTGAGATCAGTGCATCTGATAAAAAGAAGAAGCAGGAATGGATTCAAGGTAGGAAACAGGACATTTTGTAATAGAAGCTTGAACATTTATCTTTAACATTGAGCCACATTTCCTGGGCTTGACTAAATATTCTGTAGTATTTCTGTTGCAGTGCGAAGCAGCATGTCATAAATCATTCTGTTATATCCGTATCACGCGAAGTCTGGAATAGGCATGTGACAGTTGTTATAAAGGGAGATCGTTGCTGTCAGGCTGCTGGTGTTAAGATAAATGTAGGAAGGTCTCTAAGCTCTTGAAGAATTAACACGATGTATCAGGATATATAAATGAGTCACAGGAATAGCATGTGTGCAACTACTGAGCCAAGCTATTGACCTCACAGCCATGGCTCAAAAAATGTTACTGTTTTATTTTTATGTGGTGAATGAACTGTCCATCACGATCCAGGCAACAAGGCAGACTTGTCATGCCTGTGCAGCGAAAAGATGTGTCGAGCTGTCCCACCGTTCTGTCTGGGGCACTTTTAGGGCAGGGGAGGAGGCGGGGTGGTCGAGGGGGCTGCTGTGAGTCACGGAGTGGGTCGCTGTGCCCTGACGTCCTCTCGGTTTCCCTCCCAGCCATTCAGACCTGCATCAGCCTGCTGAAGCTGGGCCTACCGGCCCCGCACAAGGAAGCCCGGCAGAAACGGAAGGAACTGAGGCAGAAACTGCTGGCGGAGCAGGAGGAGCTGGAGCAGAGGATGAAGGATCTGCAGACCGCTAACGAGAACAAGCAGAGGGAGCTGGAGACCATGAGGAAGGTACATGCAGCCACTGTCTTGTGTCAGGCTCTCCACAGGACACAGCCATTCGACGTTTTGTGGCATCTGTGGCAGTATTTATATTGTTGTATAATCATCCTTTCTTATTTGGAATGACCAAGGAGGGCAGAGTGGTGAACAGAGTTTGGCAAATGTTTCACACATATGGGAGTGCATTTTCCAGACATAAAATAAATGCCCCCCCCCCCCTCAGTCCACAGTATTCCACCTTATATCCTGTAAAATGAAAACTGTGTACATCTATGAGATAAGACACAGTTCACCGTAAAGCCCTTTCTGGGGTCAAACAACCTTTTAGGTAAAACTTTAAGCATGTCCGGTGCTGACAGCATTTTGCAATACACAAAGAAATCTGTGCCCCATGGCTCTGAACAAAAAAAGAGAGTATATCTGAAGTGCTATGTCATTTTCTACTGTATAGGTTTTCACAGGCTAATGAACAGGTCATGTAATAAGGTAGAAATGTTCATTTGCATCACACATGCTTGTTAATGGAATGCTAACGTCATTAGGATCCGGGTTGTGCTTTTGGTTCACAGGGTCTTTAACCTTTTGTTCAAAAGGAGACCCTATCCTCTTCTGGAACCTGACAGAAATTTGTCTACCATTCTTTACAAAAATGTCTGCCTATGTTCATTCTTTTAAATTATTTTTTTGCTGGCCATACTTATCCTGATTTACACAAGTTACATGAAGGAAGCGACGTGTCTTTATGGCGTAGATAGCTGAGACCCAGATAAAACCAGACTTTGAACCAGCCACTGATATGAAATTTCAAGCCCCTGCGCATCATGGTATAGTTCCACCAGGTGCTAACAGAGCTTCTGTAAAACTAGAAAGCTACCATCTAGTGGTAGCTGAGTTCCCATGGGTTACATTTTGACCGAATGTGGGTCAGAACCAGTTAATCAGTCCGCAGATGTTTTCCCCTGGTTTTTTATGCAATCCCTCATTTGCAAAGACCCTTCCTTAATGTGTTGAACAGACACCCCTTAGACATAGAGGGGCTCGACAGGAACGATGGCATTGTGATGTATTTTCCTTACCTTACCAGGAAATATGGCCGCCCAGTTTCACACTGCTTTTTTTCTTGGGAGTGTAACAATGTAGTCCATATACATAACTGTGTAGTATATAAACCAGGTGGACATTCGTGGGGATTTTTGCTGGGTGTTGAGGCCTGCTTGCTAGGTTTTTTGGTGTCTGTAAATTGTGCTCTATGATGGACTGGTGTCTTTTCCACGGTACAGTCCTGCCTGTCCTGTGCTACAACCTTTACCAGGAATAAGCAGTGTGCAGTGTGCTGTGCCCAACCAAGGCATTAAGGGCTGGTTTCGCAGATCAAGATTAGCTGCACACTCATTTGTTTTACAGCACATTAGGCAGTTCAAAATGAGTGCTGATCAAGGTCTGTTAAACTGCCAGTAAAGCTCTTGAATGTATGATAGAGATACAGCTCTATTGTGGCAGTGAAGTTTCTGCAAAATGAAGGATAGTTACCTATTTGTAGTACAGTATTTGTCTGAAAATGATAAAACAATAGCAATAGATTATAAATAATCTCTTACCAATGTGAATGATAACAGATAACAAACCCCCAAAGGCCATCCTCATTGTAAGAAGGTTTAAAAGTTGACTATTGCTACCCTACATAAGAAGGCAGTTTTCTATAGGTATTTTTTTACATCCAAAATTCTAATATTTTCTGTGGAAATTAATTTTTTATTCACACGGATTTGAAAATATTTAATCCTAGTAATCTGATATTAATTTGTATGGCAGAAAAGTCTCTTTGATAATAAAAATGGTCTTGCAAACACTGTTCAGTTGGTTTCAGGATTGTCTTCATCCCTGTTAAAGTGAGACTTGCTAATCCAATAGCCAGTAGTCATTTACTCACCTGTTGAGTTCTACTGAATTGAATGGGTGGCGTATTTATCAAATAAATTAGCGTTTGTTCCACATTTTCTGACAAAAACTTTCTCTTGGCTGATATCTGTTATCAGTGTTCTGATGCATTGAACCAATTGTATGTTGCATGAGTCACTCTGAAATAGTTTGAAAGGGATGAACTTTAAGGTGTTAAGAATCACAAACAGGAAATAGCAAAATTCCTTTTATATTCAGTTTTTGTCTTGAGTACATTCAAATTCAAAATCTATTGCCAGTTTTAAATACCGGCTGGTACAGATTATCTTTAAAGGTCACATTTAAAAGTTCTCATTGAACTGTATTTCCCATAGAACATGTCAGATATCAAGGCTCGGATCTACTCTGGTTCATGGAGATGCAAATGTTGCTTTCTGTGATAAGAGAGAACACTTACATACAGGACACCTTTTTTCAGTCTTTCAGTGCTCTCTGTTGTCAAGAATAAAGCCAAGTCTTCTACCATGTTTCCTGTTCCTGACTATAGAAGTCCGGTCTTGCTAAATTACCTGATTTTCTTTGTTTTTTAACCAACTTGTTAGGTGACTTTTGGACACTGAGGAAGGACTCATGTTGCTGTCAGTCTGATGTCATGTTTCTGTATTGCAACATTTATAATTGGTGTCTAATGAAAAAATATGCACTCTTTCACACCAAGTACTGTAAACACAAAGGGTAAAAACATTCTCCTTGTCTTTAGCTTTATAATGTAATTTCAGCATTTTGATAGCATAATAACCTTGTATTTTATAAAGCCTTCATAAATTGTGTATTTTTCATGATAAAAGAGACCTCTTGTGTCAGACTGACTTACTTCGTTGCACTTTCCTGGATATATTGAAAGCTCTGAGTTTTGAAATCACTTAGCAGAAAAACTACCTCTTGCAGCTCTTTATTGTCTGGAGGTTGGGGAACGGCACACACCTGTAATGATGTAATTAGTGGAAAGAGCAATATGATCAATGTTTCTGTTGATTCTGCTGTGGCAGCTTAGAAATTTTTATACAGTTTCAGCATTATATAGTAGGCAAGTATAGTAATAAGAGGTTCTAATAAGAGGTTCTTTTTATATATTTTTTGTGGGCTTATTTTAAACTGGGCCAGTGCTTTTCGGTGATAGTAATGCATTGTGATCTATGGGTGTTTATTAAAGTTGCAAGGGATAGACACAGCTGTAGTGGTTTGGTTGGTTGTTGGAGAAAATGTACTTTTTCACGTAGGTTTCAGTTCCTCCATGAATGAGAGTCTCTTTCTTCATGTATTGGAAATCAAGAGGCTTGCATTTACCCCTGTGGTACAGAAGGCTGGAGAGGTTAAATACACAGTACTGTGGACAGCTGAACAGTGACACAATCATTCATAGTCATTCTGGTTTTAATATGTGCATTTGAAAATATTTTCTGCTCCGTACAATACATTGAACAACAGAAATTGAATCGGGCACCGACAGAAGTTTTAGAAAGCCACGAAAGATTTGGATCTGGGTGGTGTTCAGGACTTGCTGTAGGTTGTTGGCAGCTGGGACGTTTGCACTGGGAAACAGGATTTGTTTGCTTTAACATGTCCTTGAAAAGTGCTGCATGGGATGATTTATAAATATTGTGTATCAGAGTGACAGCATATGCTTTTTAAAGTTTATTTTTATAATAATGCATAATAAAACAGTAACCCGCTACAATTCTCAACAGCACTGACAAGATACCTGCATCACAAAGTCCTCACACTTCAATTGAGGTGGGGGGAGTTTTAGCGTGAATGTGCGAAGGCACCCTTTGTATACTTTAGAAACTGTCAATTGAGAATGACACTATGGTCATACATTTTTGGGTAGTCCTTGGTAAGTTTTTCAAACCATGAGAAAAAGAAAATAATGGGCCATCTGTGACAAAGGAAGTTTATGCAGGTGGGTTTCCTCTGAGTTAACAGGGCCTCTGTTGTAGCCATCTTGTTGCAATGTTATATCAGGCATTTATTGCTGTACTTTCAGTTCCTGTTCTTCATCTCTTGTCTGGCAAACATTGCTCCACAAGAGCGCTTTTATGAAAGCATTGCATTACTATGTAGTGTGTGTAAAGACTAATGGGAAATAAACTTCAAAAACAGTTATTTGTAATTGGTCTATGAAGCCTCCAGGTATAGATGCAATTTCTATAAAGAATATTTTTATTTAGAACAGATATCACTTTGAGCCACATTCATCAAAGACTAGCTACAGAACGGCCACACCTTTGTGAATCCGACTTTAAATCTTTTCATTTTTCTTTTCCAAAATAAGCAGGGAATGTATTGCATGAGGTAAAAGCTGCTTTTGTACAGTACCTTCTGCTGCTCAATAAAGACACAGATAAAAACATCATAAACTGTCTTTGCATTGAAAAAAACAAGGTGTGTGTCTGCAGGAAAACATCATGTTTCCCCTTTTAAATAAAATAACATTCATCATAAGCTATGTCAGAATGTAAAGTTTGACAAATACTTTTTCACTTTATTGGCCATATACAATTTGATTAGGAATTTGTATTTTTCCCATACCCCAGCTTGCTCTCCATGAGACACACAGATTGGGAGAAGAGCCGGGGGTCAGAGCGCAGGGTCAGCCATCTATTCAGGACCCCTGGAGCAGCTGGGGTTAAGGGCCTTGCTCAGGGGCCCAACAGAGTAGGATTCCCCTGCCGGCCGCGGGATACAAACCGGCAACCTTCCAGCCACAGGTGCAGATCTTTAGCCACAGGGTCACTGCACCGCCCCTAAAGCGCTTGGCGATGCGTTGGGCGGGAATACATTAATCAAGCTAATCCTGAATGTATCATGAGGGGTAAGGTTTCTGACATTTTGTTTTGTAAAGGTTATACTTTTTGGGGGAATGCCACCGTTAAAGTGAAAGAAAATGAGAGCCCCTGAACTTGGCCTCTTGAGCAGATTTGTTGGAAGTGTAAAGCTCTCGGCCAGCTTTATCAACAGAAGAGTTTTTCTGTCTCGGCGCAAGGGCGAAGTGTCTGTGAACGCAGGCCTGCTTGGTCTGTGTGAGAAGACGTGAGAGAGCGGTTTTTCTCCAGGAGTGGCGGCGGCCTGGCAGCTCTTGGTTAACATGCTCTTTCCTCCCCGGACGCGCATAGAAACTGGCGGAAGCAGCAGCCGACGCTGCCGAAGAGGAGAGGAGACGGCTTCAGACGCAGAGGGAACTGCAGGACCGCTACCGGATGGACCTGGAAAGGGAAAAAATGGTAACTGCCTAGCCGGGCACTTTCCTTTCTTCCTCGTAGGGCAGCTCCGTCACCACAGGAATCCCTGAGTCGCAGTCAGAGCTCCAGACTCAACCCAATAATGTTTGCGTTGCATCTTCCAAAAGATGTTAGTTTAGACTGTTGAGCTGTAACTTGTTCTTTTTTTTTTTTGCATTTGCTTCATATAACCAGTTTTGAATTGCTGCTCCTAGAAGTCACAATTAATAAATAAGGAAAACATCATTTCAGTAAACTCAGAAAAGATAAGTTCTTGACGAACTTCTACACGGGAAAAAACCTGCAGGGAACAGGTTATGGGAATGTGCAAAATTCAACACGTATGTCTTCACAATTCTGTTTGTTTAATCTGTTTTCATTGTTGACCTGTGGAACCTTCACGGACTAATGCTGTTTACGCACCAACTTCATTAACACACTAGCAAAGAAATCTCAATTTCAACAGAAGGTTTTCCTGAAGTGGAAGGTGAAAAGCAAATAGAATTGTTTGTTCTCTTTTTTTTTTAATTCAATGTATTTTTAGGAAGCAGGGGAGGGACTTTTGAGATACCTACTTCTGCTATTATAATTCTTGGAAAAGAAACAGTTTGATTTAATCTACCACATGATTTGGGCACTGGTGTGTCTACTGAACAGTGAACTACAAAACTGAATCTTTTGTTACAATTTGTACATCTATACTGAATCCTGAGTTATTTAAGATCCCTGGTATTAAGGTCCGTGACCACCATCACCAGTATTCTTTATTTTAATCTTAATTGAGATTAATTCCTTATTGCAATGTAGTAATAATGTAGCAAGACCATGCAAGTTTGCACACACTTGTCAAAGTCAGGAACCTTCTCTATGTACTGAAAATAAACAGAACTGCCCTGTGTTAGGAATGTGATTCGTTGCATCTCATTCAAAAAGGAACTTAGCTTGTATCAGAGCTGTTTTTCCAGTATAGTTTTATCTTGCACATGTCAAACATGATGTACAGTGGTATGCTGTACCATTTACCCCAGAACTGGTTTGAGCACTTCTTCCTTTTACATGAGGGAATTGAATGGTGTAATGTTGCCTGTAAATTGTATTTCTAAATGCCTTTAGTCCTCTGCATTTATATATATATATTCCCCATTTTATAATATGTAAGTCTTCCTCAGGTAGCAGAAATGTGGATCACCATTTAGAAGGGGGTTGTCCACGTTTGACAGTGTCATTCATCGTAGAGGAGAATCGCCAGCAGGCAGCCTGTGTGCCAGTGAGTAGCGTGTGTGTGTGGGTGCCGTTGCCAGGTCAGGCAGCAGATGGAGGAGGAGGTGGCTCAGAAGTCCTCAGAGGTGGAGCAGTACCTGCAGCGGGTGCACGAGCTGGAGGACATGTACCGGCGGCTGGAGGAGGCCCTGGAGGACGAGAGGCAGGCCCGGCAGGACGAAGAGGCCGTCCGGAAGCTGCAGGCCAGGTCAGCAGCACAGCGGGGGGACACGCAGCCGGGCACCGAACGCACACGCGCGCACACACACACCCGCCCACCCAGAGAGAGGGCTGCTGAAACGCCACGTACAGTCGAGGCGTCCGCCACGAGGAGGGAACCTCGAAACGCCTCTGACTGCACTTTCATCCCCAGCCTTTGTGTAATGAAGAACGCAGCAGGCATGGCGTTAATCGAGAGTCCTGAGTTGTAGCGCTGGGTTGTTTTTGCACCAGAGCGCTAACGTGCCTGTGCGGCAGTGAGCTGCAAATAAAAATCTGAGCTATTAAAGTAGAAAGGGGACAAGCATGATGTGTAAAGACTTGTCCGGTGGCACTGTGTCTTAATGTCCATATAATATTTCTTAGATTTATTTTGCTTTCCATGAGAATGGTATACTCGCAGTATCGACACCCCTCATCTCTGTGTCAACCATTTTTTAATTACATATCATACACACATGGAAAACACTGACGCATAAGAGCATTAAACTTTCATTTTGAGTGAGTGAGTGGTACAACTTCTATGAACTTAATTTAAAGAATTTCTTATTTCTGCATTACATTTAATTCGCAATTAATGCGAAGTATTGTCGGAGACAAAAAGCTGCAGGTCAGCCTTTGAGTTTGTATACTTGGTAGGGGTTAATGGCGTTTTCGATAGCAGGATATTCACTTGTACACAGTTACAATAAGAACGCAAGAAAAGGTGACAAAGGAGAGGCAGCCATGTGGTTCTTCATCGCTTTATGAGAAAAAGGATCAAGATTCAAAGTATCTCATCCAGATGTTTTTTTCAGGATGCCAGGGATACATTGTGATACATTTGTACAGCTGATATTTCAGTAACACTTTAGATTGGGGTTGCAAATGCCATTTATAAACTTTATATAAACTACATTTATAGAAACATTTAATAATATAAATGTGACAATAACCAAGCTCTGCAGTAGGGTGCTGTAGGTTAATTGCATGTCTCTGAAGCAGGGCAGATTAATAGAGTGAAAACAGTTATTGCCATCAGATCGGTGGCTTTAATATTGTGAAAGGCTAATCTAGAGCAAGTGCTCCCCCTGACAGAGGCCAGTTTAACTTGTTAACCCTCTATTCACACCTTTCAGAGCCTCAGCTCCTCTTTTGTCATGTTGGTAAAACAGGAGCAGAACTAACGTGTAGCTGAAAGCTACATTTTTTTTTTTAAAGGTTTCACAGCAAAGGTCATCAAGGCTAGCATGATCACAACACTACGGAAGCAAAGGATTACATAAGGGTGTGCAGAACAACCAAGATCTGATGTGATGTGCAGGTGCAGACATTTCCGTGTGAAAGTGTAGACAGAGAAACCAATATGATATGTATACATTAGAGATACTGTACCAGTAGCTACTGGGTGGTCCTGTTTCTGCTGTAGCAGAGAGATGCGGCACACAGGAGACTTGCAGAAACAGGATGCACTGTGACACACACAGCCAAACACACAGACACATTTGGATTCCTGTATCTGTGGGGACTTCCCATTGCCTCTCAACCTGTTTTAATTTACTACTCTATACTCCATTGCAATGCATTTTCCACACAGAGTGGAAAATGACCCCAAACAGGTTTCTGGCTTTTGACATTTGCCAGAAAATACAGTTCATTTTGTAAAATAAGGCTGGAAATAAATGGATCCAATAAGTTATTAACTTGGTGAGGAGGATGTCCCTATACTGTATCTTGTCCCCACAAAGACATGGAGTCCAGACATTTTCTATAATATAGATGCCAACTCACCCACGCAGTCACTTTCCTCCTCACCAGTCTGTTATTGAGGCCCACCCTGGTTTACACATGTCCAGCGTTCCCTTGCTTGAAATTTTATTTCGACAGCTTTTCAAAGTGTTTGTCCACAGGGAAGTTCAATAGGTCAAGGGCAAAAACATTTAATAGCCAACGAGATCAGATATGTATTGTCATAGGCAATCTGATTCAGAATACAATCAAGATTATAATGTAATCACAGATGTGTATATACACACACAGCAAATGTAATTTTGCCCTTTTGAATATATATTTTATGTAAATTATATGTTGTAAAATGTTAAAATGATTTTTTGTTAATACTTGACCAGGGGGGCTGTAATTTATTTTGAATATGCTAGGTTAGCAATATATTAAGATTTAGCAAATGTTTGTTATTTTGGACATTAATTGCTTGCAGTCATAGCGGGAAAGTCCTCTGAATGCCTCAGTATTTTCATGCACCTGTGAATGAATGATTTTCTGTTTGAAGAAGCATTTTGCTAATACCGCCTGTGAGAAGTCACTTCAGCTGGACAGTAATTTTATTACACCGGATTGCAGCCTTGGTCAAGAGCACATAATGGAGTGTGAACCTGCTGTACTTAAAAGGCACAAGAAACTGCATATTGTCATATGCTGTATCTCTGTCATATCACTGGTTATAAGAGATTACACATATGAAATAATTTTACACAGCCAGATCCTTGAGCTTTAAGCTGATACATTCTTGACCCAAATGAGGATAGAATACAATTGTTTGTGAGGAGGTGCTGGCAGAACGTATGGATGTTCTCGCAGGATGTCTTCCCCAGCATGGCTCTCCAAAGCCTGGCTTCTGTGCTTGCCCCGCAGGCTGCTGGAAGAGGAGGCCATGAAGCGCGCCGAGCTGGAGCAGATCCACCTGCAGCAGCAGAGGGCCATCTCCCAGACGGAGGCGGAGAAGCAGGAGCTGGAGAACGAGCGCCTGGCCAAGGAGCAGGCTCTGGAAGCTGCCATGCAGCAGCTGGAACAGCTGGAGAGCGAGCGCAGAGGAGCGCTGGAGCAGTATGAGGTGAGCGCGGAGCTCTGGCACACCAGGGGGAGTCATGGGTGTGACGATGTTCATTCAGGAGGAAATGGAAATCAACTGCTTGTTTCTGTATTAATAAACCACCTGATTTCGTTTTATTATGGTTAACAACCTGCCCTGCATTTGAAAACCTTTGGTGGGATTACGTAGACAATCAATCCCTTTTTTTAGTACTATACATGTGGTACATACTAGCATATGAAGGTTTCTGGGATTTTTAAAAAGAAACAGGCTTACTATGAACTGGTTAGCGCCATATTACTGTTTCCTTAGACTTCAGTTAAGTGAAAGGATAACTTAACTTGGCTTCCCTTTTTTCCTGGCTATCCGCCGTCTGTGCAATTATTTTCAGTTTCTGTTGTAATACACTTATGAAAGAAAGATCTAAGAGGACATCTTGGGGAAAAAAGCTGAGTCACAGCCCCCCCCGGGACTGCAAGACCGGATTGTGTCATAGTGGATAGCCACTCCTTGAAAAACTGAACACATTTTTGTGAAGGAGTCTGGAATGAACTGGCATTTTGACCCTCAAATTCCTGTGCTCTGTGACCCATTATTAAGACTGACAACCACTCACTGCCACGCTAAGGATTTTGTAACAGCAGCACTCTTGAGTTTGAGTTAGCTCTTTTGAAAGTAATTTCTAAAAAAAAGTCATTTTGCACTGAAAATTTTAAATTATACTCTTTAAGCTTGTACATAAAGAAGTCAGGCTTATGTAATTCAGCTGAGTGATTGCTAGCTTTTTTTCTCTTTTCCTCTGGGAGGATTTTAGTCATGTTTGGTTCTGCTTTGCGAAATGTTGTTATGCAGCACCACCTGCTGGGGGACTTATGTGGTGCTGCCATATACTGGCCTCTGATTATACCTTACAAACTAGTTTAACTTTATTATTATTCCATTGAATGTATAGGGGACAGTTTAAATAAAACCTAACAAAATATAATGGATGTGCTTTTTTTAAAGAAGCAAGAGTATTCCCACTGACATAGTGGTTTAGATTGTAGTGGACGGTGGATTCTGTTTGTAATTGGGAGTATCGGGGGACTGTGGTTTCACATCAGAGTGCCTGCCACTTTGCTCATCCCTTGAGTTCTCTGTGTGACAGGAGGTGATGAAGAAACTGGAGAAGGCAGCAAATAAGACCAGGAGCTGGAAGGACAAAGTAGCTCAACATGAAGGCCTGATCCGCTTAATTCAGCCAGGTAGTGTAATCTATAAGAACGCAAGTCACAAATGAGAGGAGGCCATTCACACCATCTTGCTGAAATGATGGTAGCTAAAGGGGGCTTATGATCTTTCCAGATTTTTCTTGTAAGAAGCCAATATATCATCTTCAACCTTCAACCTTTTTGTATTTATTGTTTATGGGTAGCTTATGGTAAGTCCTTCAGACATTTTGGTGAAAGAGCCTGTTCAATCTGAAACCTTTGGGCTTAACAGCTCAGATGGAAAGAAAAGAACAAGAAGCCAAGAAACCAAGGTGCCCTTGGTTTAGGATCATTTTAGATCTATTGGTCAGAGTTGGAATACATTCTACTGGCAGCAAAGAGTGGAAACATGTTTGTGTTTTATCTATGGATCTTCAAGTTGTTAAACTGGTGATCTAGCAAACATTATAAGGATCATTTCTAATTCTGTAAAATCAGGAAAAAGAAAGACCATTTACAACAGTTTTAATCTTAAAAGAGACTTGCAAGGTCTAATCTTCAACCCCAGAAAAGGTTACAAACTTGGGTCAAGGCTACAGACAAGGCACTTATCCCTCCATTCCGAGAGGGTTATTAATATATTTTTTTTACATGCGATTTCCAGGATCCAAGGGTCCGCAGCTGATCACTAACTGGGGAGCAGCTGCTTTCACTGAGGCAGAGCTGAGCCTGAGAGAGAAAAGCTGGCAGGAGAAGAAGAACAGAACCACTGAGGCCCAATAGAACAGACTGACATACCCCATGGAGAGCGTACATCTCGGGCTGATCAGCCCTGTGCTCAGACATCCTGGGCATTGGCACAGATGTGGAGAAGGTTCTGGAACATTCTTGACCACACCTGCAGCTGCTAGTGCAGAACAAGCTTACAGTCCCATCTGAAGGGAACGTGATGTTCAATAGCATTCCTGTTTCTTAACTAAAACTGCACCTGATCAGCTAGAGTAGCCTGTTACTTTTTCTGCTGCACTTGATATCACTTCAGTTGAACCTGTCTGCCTGGAATTCCAGTTTTTTGTTGAGTGTACAGTTTTAATTTGATAAACACTGCATGCATTATCCAAATGTTTTTTTTTTATTTTGTTTACGTGGAGTAAATCTGCATTAGTTCAAATCTTTTATTTACTAAAAGTGTGGATGAAAGAATATTAACATGTTTTTGTTGACAATAGATGACAATTTTTCCTGCAAAAAATCTTTGGCTGTTTCTGTAGTATTAGATATAAAACCCCAGAAGTTATATTACCTTCGCTAAAAAAATCAATCACACAGAGTAATATCTTGTTCTTTTGTTGTGAAGATGTTTTCTAGGATATTTTATATAATGAAGCCTGTTTTTTAACAATAATTAACAATAATTTCTCTAATAATGGTTACTGCTTTTGAGGAAAATTAGTGTTTTACTTTAAAACTTTCATGCTATGTATTAACCAAAAGACACTGGGAGAACATTTGAAAAAAAAAGACCTTTTTGTATTTATTTTTAACTGAACATTTCCATGTAAAGCCTGAAAAAAACTTTTTGAAATTGAAGACAAAAGTTAGTTGTTTAATATAAATGTGTGAGTTTTAAGAATGTACCGGTGTGCATTTCCGTGACTATGAAAAAGAGCTAAAGACTGAAGTTTTGATAAAAAAAAGACATTGCTACAAATTTATTTTACCATTTTTTTATCAAATTAGAAATAACTACTTTTTTAGGCTCCATGTTATGTGCAGTAAATCATTAATTTTTATACCAGAACAATGGAATCCATTGACTTTCAGATTTAAACAGTTTTCACTTAAAATGGGAACATGGAATTTCATAGTGATTACTGTTCTGTGAATTACAGTAGTTATGTGACCTAATTAAGTCATTTTTATTAACAGTTTCTTCAGGTACAATTTCAGCCTGAAGTTATTCTTCCTTCCTATTTTGTTTACTGTTTATCAAACATCTTGAACAGTATTTAATATTTAGGAAGTTTTAGTGTAGGTTAAAAAAAACAACTGAAACTGTACTTTAATAAAGACGTTAATGAAATGACTATACATATTGTATTTTTTTATTGCAGTAAAATTAGGTTAAGGGATACAACCAGACAATTTACAGCAGTGTAGTGTGGCTGTAGGATCATTGAACAGCATTTGAGACCCATGGTTATGGGTCCTACCAAGCCCTATAATTACTGGTCACCATAAGACAGGACTGGGTTCTGAATTCACCTGGAGCTCAACAATTTCCCCCTGGCCTTAATCAACCATGTCCTCCTAATAATCTCCATCAACTGATGTGTGGTGAGCGTTCTGGCGCACTATTGCTGTTGACGCATCTTCCCATTACCTGAAAAGAGCTTTGATTGGAGTGTCCAGAAAGCTATATAAGTGTAAAGATTATTTAAATCAGTAGCAAAATGAAAATGTTAACACTTTATTCCAAGGCACCTGGACAATACCCCAGTCTTAAGTAGAATGCAAATGTAGAAATCTGTTTTTACTTCAGTTCAGATGGAGTTGTTCAGATTTTATTTCTATTCTGCAAACTGCTGCACCAGTTAGCTTGAAGCTCTGGATACTCTGGATTGCAACTCACAGCAAAGCCATGTTACATTATGCACCTACACTGACTCAGCTGGATCCCTACCAGGTGGGGAATTCCTCTGCAAAACTGTCTTCAAAGAGGAGCAGCTGGTGGCGAGGGGTGTGTCTCGCCAAGTGGGTATGAAAAGTGGCCCTGCCACTTGTGATTTGCAGGGCTGAAGCAGGTCTTAGCTGGATGATAGCTCTCAAGGATAAGGTTGGTGCTGCAATCTCTAGTATCATAGGTGTTTTAAATCTAGTCGCCCTCTCTGTCACCATCAATACATCATTTAACAAGTCATTTCCAGAGGGGAAAAAAACAGATATAAAAAGTTTTCCAGTTAAAAAAAACTAACATTGCCGAGGAATTTTTAATGGTATCCAGCTTTTTGGCGGTATACCCTCAAACTGAGAATTTGAAATGAAACACATAGTTTTTACTTGAGTGACAGAACAAAGAGTTAGCTCTAATTATCATATTTGTCAAGCTCACCCTTAACAGTATGCACCTTTAATTTTGCTGTAGAAGAGCTCTGATCTGTGAACTTAACATTCCCCAGAATAATCAGCACATATTCAAAAGGCAATTGCACTTGTTATATGTAACTAGTTTAAAATTGAAATGCTCACATACTAAGTTACAGGGACTCTAGAAACCTGGAAGCCATCAGTAGCTTCGAGTTTTGCCAAAATGGGCCAGCACTTGTGCTTCAAGGCTTTGGCACAAAAACATTCTTTCCATAACTTGTGCTGTCCAAGCCAGAAAAAACAGAATTATGTCAGGTTTTGTTAATTTTTTTGTCAGCTGTATACTTGCCATTTGTAGTTTCTTCATCCTTCCTCACTCCAGAATCACTTTAGTTCATAGTACAGTTCCATTTGTTTGTTTTAATTTAGTGTCATTTATTTCTTTTTGTTTCGCTTGTCTTGTTTTTCAGCACATAGCAGATGAAGGGCTTGCAACAAACCAGAGCAACTTCACAAAGAATGAGGCTTCTGGTGACCATATGCATAGACAATATAGGACAACCTTTGCTGCTGGCATTTCTGCATAAATAGATCAAATTTGTACTTGCAGAGGACTCCTATCACTGGACTATCAACAGAATGAAAATCCCCTTTCAGGACCAGATCTGTAGTTTGTATTTCTTTGGCATTACTTTTTCAGTTCTTTGGGGTTAGATGTCAGGCAAATTGTTCACAGAGAAACTGACGGGCCTGTAAGGAATTCACATCTTTAATATACACTGCTGAAATTCAAAGGTCAGGTATTTATTTCCACTGATAATTAGTCGTGAGGTCAGCTACACAGTAAGGGGTGCAAAAAAGTCTCATTAAACACAACCCCTCTACAAATTTTATAACATTTTTATAAATTAACAAAATCTACTTCTTTACAATGATTGGGAGATTTTTGTGCCTTTCAATAGCTCAAAGTTAATAATATTTTAATTTAATAGTAGTTTGATAATAATACTCTCCCTGTGAATAAGTGAAAAGGTTTAATGCAAGACCTCTGCTTTGTTTTAATTTAAGTTTAAAGACTTTGCACACAGAAGTCAAACACACTGATGCTGGTAACCTAATTAAGGGTAAAGTATAAATATTATTTTCATGCAACTAGGACATGAGCCCAATTAATGTTTTTAGGGGTGCTCAAGTTACATTTTTTCCCCCCATGACTTCCTGTTTATATTTTTGCAAAATAAAAAAGGTTTAGAATTCCGTTGCAGTGGAATTAAAAACGGTAGGGGAATGTATGGACACTAGGTGGCAGGGCTGCATTTAAAAACTACAATCTGTTCCTCCCCTTTTGCACACTGAAGTAGTTCTCTATATTAAGATTCTCCAATATATTAATCTAAAGTAAAGTAATAGTATTAATGCACATTCTAGGTGTTTTACGGAAAAAAGGGGTTTACTATTATTGTTCTAATATCTACTTCTCATGGGTCAATTCACTGTTACATAAATTCTAAAATTATAGATTCATCTAAGCCCTCCAGAATACCTTCTTTCAGGCTGAAAGGAGGAAGGTCTTCTGCACAGATACCTACAGAGAAGATAACGACCCCAGAAGATCTTCTCTTCCTCTGCTGTCGAGCGCCACAGAGCTGTTGTGCCCTTGTTCAGAGTGACTTTGCATCTCGATGAGTCTGTAGAAACCCAGTTTCCTAGCATGGCACCTGCACTCCCCTAACCAGGGTCTTCAAGTTCTGCTCTTAGTGCTGACAATTAAATGCCAAGATCTCACACTCCCACTCTGCCTCCCACTATTAATTTTTGCAGAGACAACCTTATAAAGTCAGGATAGTTGCAGGGACACATTTGTCAGAACCACAGGCTTGAGTTTTAACCTGGAAGATCCTGGTTGTAGGAAATCTGATCAGTCCTTGAAATCATTCTACTGATTTTTCAGATCCATGTTTTTCTCTCATTCCCCACATGTTGCATGTAAATACTAGCACGCATCTAATTTTATAATGAAAATTAGTAACTTCTTAATGTGTGGTAGGTTCAAAGCTTCACACCTGCTACAGTTTCTACTCACATAAAGTTTCAATGGTGTCAATGCAGCTTCTGAATGTCAGAGAAAAATGAAATAATCTTTAGTTAACACTTTCCCCCCGAACATGTTCTCTGAGACTGTATTGAAGCACCTTATTTTTGTTATACTAAGAGCTAAAACAACAAATCTCTACAGCATGACCAAAAGTAGTGTTTTTTTTGTTACAAGTCTTTTATGCCATTCAAATAAAAAAGGATGTGTAAAGACAACCCTTTGTCCTGCATTACTGTAGTATTGTCTTCCATAGAGTGATGAAATTATTTCTGTAAGATTACTTATCTAGTGTTATTGGGACTCAAATACCGGACGCAATTAACAGAATAATGTATTTGCTTAATTTAATTTCAGAGCTACATAGCTTGTGTAATTGCTGGAATACACTTGATATTCCATCCTGCTGGCTGTACTGCACAAATCTGTGCAATGTTCAAAAATGCCAGAAGGTACTTTTCCAACCTCTGCTTGAGAGATTTAAGATTTTTTTTCCTTCAGTTTCTGGCTTGAAGTTTAAGTTACAAAAGCCTTTTATTTTCTTTAGAAATCCAAAGTTAGTTAAGGATGAATTAAAGAATGCACTGAGCAAGTTATTTTCGTTCTTTGAGTCATCCAGCTAGGAATTTGAAACCCCAGCGATTATTAAACACTGACTGACATTATTTGCTTCCACACCCTTGAATTCACTCTAGCTCATCAAGTGCAATTCTTACTTTCCCAACCAGAAATGTAAATCTTTCACTCTGCCCTGGAGGAATCCCAGGTCTTTGTGTTCTCTCCCCTCCCTGCATCTGGGAGCTTTGCAGCTTTCTTATTCTTGGAATTAACCACTGCTTTTAAAGGAATCCAGAGCAGCATCACTATGGACACATGCGGACCGTTGTGTGAGTTTTTCGCAAAATAACTCAGTTTAATCTTAGACTTCCCATTGATGAACCTTTTTGCTGTGAAGCCCCTATCATAACTTAAACAAGAGCACAAAAATGCCTCGGCCCACGTTTCCACAGTACCTCTGTGTCCATGAAATAAAGGCCAGGTGTCTGCGTCGGGCCCTGCAACGCGTAGAGGCTAAACTGCTCGATCTGTTAGCGCGTGCTCATTTTCGGCCTCTTGGTCTGTTGCAGAATCCCTGTCCCACAGCAACCTGTCTTCATTTCAGCAGCCGGGTCAGATGCTGAGGAAAGCAACAGGGAGGGGAAATGTATAGCACACGTTTGGTTTAACTATCCCGGCCGAGGGAATGGCTGACTAGCCCCCAGGAGGAGGCTGCCTGAATTTCCCCTCATGACTGCAAGGAAAGAGCTAGAGAGCTGCTGCAGAGGTATAGATGAGGTGGTGGGAGAGGAAGGGAAGCACTGGATGTGAGCTGTGTGTAGACACTTAAGAGGGAGGAAGTGGGTGAGAGCAGGATCTAACCTTCCTCCCAACCGTCTGGCACAAACTCCATTTAGCTGGGCTTGATAATTACATTTTTCTAGCAATTTCACTGTTGCTGATTTTGATTGTGAAACTCATTTACCAGGGTCGATAACTGCCAGGATCCATGCAAATGAATTTCAAAGATAAGTATGAAATTAGGTAACATCTAAGCATCACAGGGTCTCTGTGTCCTCCAATACACAAATTTCTGATATCTCTCAACACAATAAATTGCCTTGTTCTCTTCCTGCCATTACAGAAGTGCAACATTCATCTTTGATTATGCAAATTCGTTTAGTTTTGTAGGCAATTTTGTTCATGTAAAAGAAAAACGTGTTACATAGATGCCCATCTGTGCAAGTCACGACCTGAAAAAACATTATGAAAATGAGACTGCATAAGCTTGCTACCTTTATGGTTAAAATGTTATCTATGCTATAATAAGTACAAAATTAATAGTCGCTGTAACCGGGCCTGCAATTTCATGGAC